CAGGTAGATGAGAATTATCGGCTTCTTCCTAGTGCACGGGTTCACTGATATATCACAAATATACATCGTATTTCATTATTAGGCTAGTTTTTCGTGAGATTATATTGATAGAATATTTGTTATTTTTGTATTTCTTTAAGTTTAATCCTTTAACACAAACCATCCAAAGGCTTTTTTTATAATAGAGATTCCTTCGAAGTTTATTCTGTATCCACAGATTTGAAGAACGAAAATTAACAAATAGAGAAAAAAATTCCATATTGTTTCAATGATCCCAGTGCGATCATTTCTATCGTAATAAACGAACACTGATTGAAGAGACATTATTGATAGGGAAATTATTAGTTATCCTTACATTGGCGATAATGACCCATAAATAAATTATTCAGTTGTGTTTATTGATGGCAAGTGTACAAGTATGTAACGTAGTACAACGGATGGGAAAGCGATGGAACACACCGTGGTTAAAGCTTGGGACATCGAACTGTGAATCTGACTTCCAAACTAAGGATATAAAAATTCAGAATCGGATTCGAATTTCTTGAAAATTTAATCATGGTTGTTCCATGGCTTTTCGCCTTATTTACAACATTAACGAAGACAGTTGTCAATTGTATTGTAATTCTATATGGTAGTCATATTTATTTTCTAAAACAGTTTACAATTTTATTGACATTTCCACCAACTACAGTTCATATTTTGACTATTCTATTCAATCAGAGGCAACGACCCTTTACTACCACTGTGTCAGTGAGGACACTAGGTCACGTTTTGTCTGACACCAGGGGTCGCACCATTTTGCGACCGTCAACAGTTTCCTCCACCGAGTTCTATGAGCATCCGAATAACGTATGAACATGATCTCCTGCAGTAAATTTTGTCTTAGAGTTTTTTTCCCTACACCTGCCTTAGACTTGCAGCATCTTAGTGCACATGAAACCTGCATCACTTGAGAGTTTATTGTTATATATTATTCACTTATAACTCGTAGAAACAGTAATCAACCAAGACTTTCAGGACGGAGTGTTAAATATCCGGAAAAACCCAAATACCGCTGAGAGGATTAACAATGCACAGTCTTTAATTCTAATTCTGCCCTAAGAGGTTAATGGTAATCTTCAAATAACTCAAGATTGGAGTTCTAATAATGTTACATTATCCGTGTCACCATTGGTGAACCACTCCCTTTCAATCCCTACAATCTTTTAAGTATTCCAATTTTATTTAAAAGTATTTCTCCTTTGTTTGCCAGACAAAATTAGAAATTAAGAAAGGAAAATAAAAAGACAAAGAGATAAGTTGTAAGGAAAGAAAGAATGAAAACTATTTTTATTTAAATTTTGATGCAAGTTTCATGCTGTAATGGTAGTAGTCTTGCCTTTCAGGGTGCACCGATTGTGTGGCGGGACTCTTTGGAGTGGCATAAGGTGTTCAAAATATATTCTGTTTCTCTACTGTTTTGAATTCATATTAATGTATTATATTACAGTCGTGAGGTATTCAAGTGTTTCACGTGTAGATATGCTAATAGAAACGTTTTAGGCGCATGTAGTCTCTAGGTCTTCATTTAATTAGGCCAGATTAATAGGATTAGGACACTTACTGAATAACCAGAGGAAAGAAATATTAGACACTATACATGTACATGTATATAGCATTTTAATTAAACGTTGTGAACAACAGCAATAAATAATGAAGCTTTTAGTTTAGAATTTGCGAAAGAACACTGAATTCAATTGACCAAATTTCCTAAATGATTCAAATAATTAAAGAGCAAGGGTTTTGATATGTTTTTGTAAAAACTATATGGTGGTGGTGCTCAATCGGTGTAACAATTTAGTACTCATTACGTTTTGGGTATTATTCACGTAATATTTTGCTTTGCAATTTTTGCTTTCAAATATAGACTAGAACACATCCTTGTGATACTCCAAAATCGGACAGAATCGATTTGGACATTGGGGCGTCAGTTTCAGAAGATGAAGAAGGGGATAACTCGGAAGAGAGTGACGCTATTAGCATTAGCAGACTATCTACGGCGTGTCTTGGTGCAGATATACGTGTAAAAAATGAGAATCTCGAACCTTCTTGTACCTATCACGTGTTTCCAAATGAAATGATGCTTGATAATAGTGTGACTGTTTTGAATACCAGAAGTTTGACCTGGTATCCCTCAATTTCCACTCCTCCACAGCCACGTTCTCGAGTCAAAAACGCCAAAAGGGAAACACCTTCACCTGCCATGCCAGAGATCGCGGTAGCAGTTGCTGAATGTTATAGTCCACGTTTGCTCCGATCAAGAACAGACGATAGAATCGACTTTCCGATGATTAAGAAAGATGCGAAAGGAATGTTAGTGGCATCTGACATCAATCTTGGAGATCAAGCTAAACTTGAATCAACTCAAGTAGCTGCTACCCTAGCAGACGAATTAGAAAATGATATTGAAACTCCTCGAATCATGTCATTGAAAGAAAGCAAGACAAAGCTCATGAAGAACCTTCGTAAGAAGTATGCAGGATACATAAACAACAAAGGTAAGAAGCCTGTTCACAGACCAAAAGGTGCCCCCGACTGCCATAGTGTGAACAGTTTGAAATCTGATAAGACAGGATCCATTAAAAGTGCTAAAGATGGCCGGAATGCTCACACAGCCGATCCAACACTACATTACTGGAAATTTGATGAAAAAGGAGAAATTGATAGAAAGTCAGTAACGTCACACAGGAGCAGCCGACAACGTGAAGCAGACGAAGAATCAATGATCAAAGTAGCCGAGTATCTCCTTAGTGATTCCAATATTCTAGCAACACAGGGGCGTCAACAGGAACAGCAAGCAGGTCACAAGCATGACATGTCCATGGCTGAAGGGGTGATTGGCTTTACGTTTTACCACCCCTTTTAACCTTGCTTAACATCACTTGACTGCAGTGGAGGGAATTTTAATCTTTGAAAATAATCACCAGTTTTCCAATGTACCGCATTAACTTCAGAAACTAACTGGTTGCCTAGTGATGCTTGTACTCACTTTGAAGTTGAGTGTGACTTGCATGCGTGTAGTTTTTACAAAACATATGAAATCATTCTTTAGAACTTCAAATACCATTGTTTCCAATGACCTTGTTGATAAAGAATTATGTTTTTTTTAAATGTATTCAAGATTCCTTACATTTTGCATGTTTGTTATTTAGCCATTATCATTCCTTCAAAATCCAAGTTGTATTATTTTGATTGTAGAAGATACCGGTATTGCCTTAACTTTTTTCATAACTTCAGTTTTTACTGTACCCTGTTTTGAGAACATTTGGATCATTGTAGAAAAATTCTCCTCAACCAACACATATTCACTCCCTAACAAATTGAACCATATCTTTCCCTGATATATTGTTTACACAGTATCCTTAAACACGATTTAATAAAATATCACGTTTGCTTCCCAGAAATTTTAACTTTTTTTTTAAATATCAAATTCGCAAAAAAATTAACATTTAGATCTATTTAAAGAATGTTATAACACTTGAATAATCGTATGATCTTATTCGAAATGTACGAGTCAGCAACATGTTTTTGCCTCGTTTTCAGATGTGGTTTGATGCCAGTGGTCGGGCCTACGTCAGTTTAGCGGCCCGTTATGATCCCCTCAGAAAGTAGACTTCATTTCATTTTAAGGTATCAGGGTTTCCATGTAGTTTTTATGATGTAGTCGTACTAACAATTCAACAGTATATAGTATTAACACTTCTAGACCGTAGCTTGGAGACTGAAGCCACGATTTTAGACTTAGTAACTCGCACAATGGCGCATGGGAAACTGTCTCTCCTTTCCGGAATGTATCCTTCTAACCTTTTACATAGAATGTTACTTTTTATATGTATACAGAACTGCCTTCATACTCCTCATAGAACTGTCTCTGTACTATACTTTCAAAGGAAACCTTTTTTTTCCTCTCAGTATTATCACTCTTTGCATATCAAGAAGTTCACGAAATAAATACTGTTCATGCTATCTTTTGCTTTCGGTTATTTCACTTAAGTTCTTGAGGGAATGCAGCTATAACACTTTCTTTATTAATTGATAATGTAAATCATCAACTAATGTTCCATATATGTTGTTTATTTTCAGAATTGAGTTATCATCTGTATGAATGTACATATTTTTTGTTGTAATACTGTAATATAAATAACAGGACTGACGTTTGCATGCAGGCATGTATTTAACATGGCAAAAATATACGTGTGTATATTGCCATAAGCGTTGTCTGTGTCATATATATATACATATCTGTTGACAAACTTATCACCTTAAATACTTCAAAAATGTTTTTGTCAGTAGACTTAGTGGTTACCTATTGTTGATGAAGTTTTAGCAAAATGAATTGTTCTGATGTGTTATTTAATTTTACATCTCAGTTGCAATTATTTCCAGAATTAAACCTAAAAATAGTGAATCTAAATTATATTAAATGCTTGTTCTTGTAGGAGGAAGTTACTACATCAAAGAGTGATTTGACGTGGTTTGAGAAACTCGAGTTACTTCGAGCCGTCAATAAGCCAAAAGAAAGACAAAGAGCTAAAATGCCTCGACTAAAGTACATCAAAGACATGGTGGAACCTATTCCGGAAATAAAAGAACCCGGCAGAGCACATTTGTATGAACAAAGGCGGATCAAACATATACTGCAACAGGTCCGCATGAAAGGAAAGAGTCAATTTGATTGGCTGAAAGACCGTGATCACCCAATGTGGAAGTCTACTGATGAGTCCAGTTCTGGAAGTAGTGATGACTTTTCTGATGAAGAAAAATTTTCTAGCCGCCGAAGAGAAAAGGGTTTGACTCACGAAGATGGGTTGATTTTAAATAGATACAACGTGAAGCCATTTGTTCAAGGCGTGAAGACTTTCTCTTCTCTTCAGAGAACAAACACTGAAATTTTCAAAGACTGAAAAAGATTGTCTGATATTTGGGGATCCGTCCACATTTTCTAAGTCTGGATTTTAATGTTGCATTGAACGGTGCTGCAAAATTTCAAATACTGTCTAGTCTTTTTATACTATCATGAAATAAATACGATTTAGATTTTTAGTGGACGGTTTTGCTTTTTGTTATATGATACAAACATGAAAACAGCATATTTAGCAATAAAAAACAAGGTGAATATCGAATACCTTTGTACTACCAATGCAGGGCGTTTTGTTTACGCCTCTTAAAACCGTCATTTTATAATTATTTACATACGAGACACACATTTTTCAAAATGTCCATGCCGAAACGTGAAAGATGCCTTGGTTAGTACTGAATAGGTAAGTTTTCACAGATAATTTTCCAACATAGAATTACTCTGAGAAACCTCCGAAAAGCTGTCCTCCATGGAATGGCTTTGAGGAACCGTTGTTCTTTTCAAACGTGCTTTAGGCTTCCTTACTCTTTGAGAGCCCTTCCTATTTAAGCTGAAAAGCTGGAAATAAGAAAGATAGCGCAACTAACTTCAAGTTTGTTATGATCTTTCAATCTAGCACCAGATGATTCTTAAAATGTTTAAATATTTGTAAAACAGTTTATACAGGCTTTAATAGGTTAAAACACTATTTGTAAAAAAAAAAAAAGCCTTTATTGTGTGTAAGAAGACCTAGAAAAATACTTGAAGCATCAGATAAAGTGATATTTTTTATGTGAATACTAGTACTGTATGATATCGATCATACAATGTTCAATGTAAAACATTCATAAATAGTGTTCCCAGAAATTATTGAGAATTCAGTTATCCAAAATGTTGGATTAATAACATACTTGTCAATATATAATTTAACATTACTATTTTATTTAATGACAATACCCGGTACTTTCTAATGTTACATGCAGTGTTCATGGATAGCCTTTCATTTATTTAATATACTTCCTGTTATCTGTTGATGTTCAAAATTACTTCTATTGAAAATAGAAAGCCTGTGTAAGCTATGTATAAGTAAGGGATTGTTAAACCCGGTTATATTTCTGAAACACCGAGTATTTTACTGTCTACTTTGTATTGCGTGGTACAATATATATATATATATATATATATATATATATATATATATATATATATATATATATATATATAAAGAGGAACTCAGTTAAGGAAAAAAAGTTTGTAGGCCTAGTAAACTAACATGCACAGACCATAAAGGCTTTGATATTTACTCAGTAAAAACAACAAAGTGGGGTTTCATTCTAGCCCTGCCAGCACTTTCCCTCTGCCGAATTTCTTTCCATTTTTCAATACGTAGTAATTTGTCCCACATGAATCACTAGTAGACAGTGGAATACTCAATGTTTCAGAAGTATCGCTAGTTTTGCAATTCTTTGACATAATAAACATCTTCAGTGGGCTCTTTTTTTTTCAAAAGCACTCATTTTGAACATTAGCAATCGACCAGAAGTATATAAAGAAAACGGTAAGTTATTCATGAAAACTGCATACACTATATAAAATAAGAAAGTGGCAAGTATTGTCATTTGATAAAAACTGATTTCAAACTTTATATATTTCATTTTTAAAATATTTTGAAACAAAAAATTTCACGAAAAAAATAATTTCTGGGAACACTATACATAAATCATTATCCAGAATATCTGTAAGGATATTTCAGAGGATTTCAATTTTTTTTTCATGTTTTTGCATAGAATTTCAATATAGAATTTGGCGAGAATGCAAGAATGTCTTATAAAGATAACTTCATTATAAATGCATGTATATGTTTTAGTAATAATAAAGCCCGTATAAAGTGTTTTACAAATTTCATAACATTTTGAGTATCCTGTGTCCTTAAGAACACAGTATATAATATTAATTTAATGATTTGAAAGGTTGAAATTCTTTTCAGTTAAAATTTGTACCCTTTTTCGTGGAGCATTTTCTGATAAGGGCATCTCTCTCTGCGAGAACTTTTTCCACTTTTTGATAACGATGTACTCCCTTAACCCGATCTCAGGTTGAGAATCTGTGAAGAAATTAGCTATGAACATGAAACAAGATTATAGATTAGATTATCTAGAGATATAATTTTATTTTAATAACCTGGTATCATTAGGTTCAGTCTGTCCTCGTCCACTTTTAATTGTTTTTTGATAGTGCTTCTGAGAGCTGCATAATTTTCATTCTTCCATTCTAAAAAAGAAAAAAAATCTGAGGCATGTAGGCATATTTTATTCAAAGTAATCGAAGCTTTTATTGAAACTTCTAATTGCATTTTCTTTATTCTTCGCAGAATTTTGAATTTAAGTATTATTTTCAAAAGGTATAATAATCATGTTTAATTCACTTACGGTCATTGTGAAGACCTAGCGCTAGCCTCACTAGACCAAACATCACGTTCGAAAAATTTACATAAAGCGACCCATCTGTCTCGCTTCGTGTAAGTTTCAAGTTCATTCTCATCAGGAACAGATACACTTGTCTTTTAGGGCATCTACTACCAAAGCCAAGAGGGGGCTCCATGGACTTGACAAAATCTTCTAAGTTTTTGATATTCATAGTCGCTCTATCAAGACATTTATTGAACAATTCAACAGCTTAGAACTAAATTTGTGTGAAGAATTATTTTCCTTTTTACTCTTATATAATTAAAGAACGGGCTATAACGCATTGAAGGTGAAGTATGATAATTTGATCCTAATATGTTATGATCCTGGGTGCATAAAGTGATAAAAAAATGACAGTGATTGAACTAATTTTATTGGTAAAATGATTAATTATAAAAAAATAGAGATTTTGAGAACTAATTCTTGTGGCTTATAATTCGTTACATTACCCACTTTTATAGACAGACATCGTCTACTTACGGGTCATGGAAACTGGCATACTTATGCCAAAGGTCAGTAAAGGCATAGAGATGTTGTGGTCCCACCTCGGAAGGGTCACGGTGCAAATAGTCAAAGTTGTTCACAATTACCGCTTCAAACAGGTTCATTACCTACGAATAAGAACAAAATACTAATACTTCAGAAATTCTTTTTTCTTGATAAGTCGCTGAACAGCTTTGCATTTGAGAAATATTGAATTTTCATATATGAAATAAAAGTTTATTATCTAAGAGTGCATCATGATCTTGACTCATGTTTATTTGGACAAGTTCAGAAAGTAGCCTTGTCGATGTGAAAAAAGTTAGTTAAATTCTATGAATTCAAAGTAGTGAGCTCCTCAACAAAATTTCCCATAGCCTGACTTGTAACTTTTAAAAAGATTTCGCAGTTTACTAAAGCATAGAGGAAAACAAAACAAATGTGTCCAGCATGCCAACAGAAGACGTTCTCGAGAATTCAGGAGTAATGTTCCTACAGAACATGAATCCAAAGTACTTGCATGTATATAGTGAAAATGTGCAAAATAACAAGCATTAATAAATACAATATTGGAACAGGTCTCTTGCTGCACTTAATCATAGTCATCTGGAAAATCAATCTTTAAGGAAAGTGTCCGTGGAAAGTAGACAGATGATAAAAAAGCACCCCCCCCCAAAAAAAAATGAAAGACTCACCAAAAATGTTGATAAAGTTATAAAAAGGATGAAGTATAGGTAAGCCCAGTCGGTACCACAGGAAGTGCTTCGGCCAGCGCCCTCACACGACCGCCCGTCCATACAGTCAAGCATTATTTGTTGCCAATTTTCACCTGTGGCACATCTGTTGATAATAGGCCAATTAAACTTTTATTTATTCGTTACAGTTAATTAAAGGGATGCAAGTATTCCAAGGACTAACTTTTACTTACTCACCTAAATAAAACTAATAAGGAAGTACCTATGTTCTTAAAGTTATTATATTTGTTGATAGAAGTCTTGTCATCAAGTTTAATATCCCCAAAGATCTGCATAAATAAAAGGCACAGCTTTCATTTAGGGATGCATTAATGTTATTTATTAAAATAATCTCCAACCTATTTCTCGAAGTCAAAATATACATCCGAAATATAAACGTGCTTAAAGCATACTTTACCTGCATTCCAAGAACTGCAAACACATAGAATGACAAAAAGTTCAGAAAGAACACGTACGGCAAAGACTGAAATGAAAAAGAGTGCAATCTTCCCTTCACAACTGAGTATTCAAATCTTCGGATTTTAAAACCTTGAACATTCGTAACGTTTTTCTTCAATTTTTTCCAACGTTCAAATGTCGATGATTTACCGACATTTTTATATGGTTTCGATTTTACAATACATGCTGTATAGTCACTTATTTTAATCAGTTTCATTCCACGCTATATTACTTGTAGGCTTATGTAGCATATACAATATTCCTTAAAGTGTGTTGACAATTTTTAAGATGCTGCAAGTTTTAATAACTAAAATCAGCTTAATTAATAACGGTTAATTACAAAAAGTAACTTTTATTTGATAAAAATGGACAATTTTAGACACACACTAGTGAAATAAAAGTTTGACGATAATAAACAGCATGGAAGTTTTATAAACTATTTCTTTTTTTTAAGAGAGCTGGGTTGTCTTGGACATTTTTAGACTATTGAGTCTCCTTAAAAAGAAGAGATCTTTTAAATATAGGAAATTGTTTTAATTATAAAAACAGGAATATGTGGTTTACAGCTAGAAAAATCATGATATTTCATATTTTTTGGTGGACCTGTCTGGTAATTTGTTGTCCACCCAGTCTCTTTATATAGAAAGGAATCAACTTACTGTTATAATACATATGTGAAATGTTACCTTCATAGAAACATAAAAGCTCCATAAAAGGAATCTGAGTTGCCTGAATTTCTTTAACAATTTTATAACACGAGCTGCTCTAAAGGCCCGGAAGTTTATGCCTTGAATCTATCGAGAAAAACTATTTCATTTACTTTCTGATGATTAAACTCCACGTTATTTTTTTAACATGCAGGTAAACAATTACTTCATACATTAACAGAAAACAATATTTTTTTTCAATGAAAATGGTATTACTTATTTCTAATCTTCAATACTTCTTAATTCCACAGTACCAAAATCGATTTACGTATATAGACATGAAGAAGAAAGACCACCTGATGAAAATCTAAGATGACGTCGACAACGCTGCCCAAAAGGAGAACGAAATCCATTTTGTTCCAATTGTCCGAAAAATAATTCTGTTGAAAAGATAAATTAACATAACAAATAAATGAAAGACACAATGGCAGAAAAGAATCCATTCAATTAAGCCGACTGGAATATTCTTGCCTTGTGTAGTGCAAGTATTTTCAACGATGCTTCCAGGAGAAATAAAACTACGAACGTCAGATTTGAATACCACAAAGCTAATGCATATTTCTCTGGCTGATCCTGGTACTGCAATCAGAAGTTCTACTCAGCTTTAAATGACAAAATCAGTTAAATTATTCTTTATTGTAAGATTATCAGGGTAGTATTGGGATAGGCAATGCACTGTGATCAATATCCATTGCTAATTCCTACTGAATACAAAAATAATTTTGAAAGCTATTTTTTAAGAGAAGAAGGCAAAAATCAATTTTTTTTTTCAATTTTTACTTTTTTTTGTTTGTTTTATCGACATAGTCGATAATGAAATAAGAAGAAAACAAAAAGTAATCAAGCTCCAAAGTCCATTGAAACAACACAAATTTGGAGCAGAGCAAACACGGAGCTCTAAAAGCATCAGAGGTGTCATCAGGTGTCATGGAGGAGTAAACAACCCCTGTCGACCGATCACACCTGTCTTGTGCTCCTTGTCATGATCGGGCAAAGTCCATATGAAAATAATGGCATAACAATTCGTATGAAAACGTCAGCCAACATTCGACTAAACAAAAGATTGTATTTGATGACAAGGTCTTTTGTTTGACCATGAATTTCGGAAATGTTGATTTTAAACGAGATGTTGATATTCTTGTTTCATAAACTTATTTGTCAATTGCTTGTTTCGTTTTAGAGATTGTTCGTAAGCAGAGCGTGCTTTTACGTAGCGAATGATCTGGGAGATAAACTCCATATGCGTGTAAAAATGGTATATTGCTACATAAATCAGGGAAGTTGATAATAAACAGTCATCACGTTTATCATAAACATTTAACGATGAATGAGAGCTACAAAGGTCTTTACAACAGAATTAGGTACAAATGGCAGTGAAGATATAGAAAGAAATACTCACATCCATTACTAAACATATTGTGTTTAAAATGACCATCAGCATGATAAAATTTTCAAAATGATCAGATATAACAAGTTCCCATATTATCCTGCGGGGTTTAGAAGCATCCTTTGGTACAAATCTTGTTCTATCCGGTTCAGTTTTTGCAACATATAGTATGCAATGTTCCTATTAAAGAGAGAGGGATATATATATATAGAGAGAGAGAGAGAGATGGGTTGATAGATAGATAGATAGATAATGTATCTTCCCAAAATCCATAAAAAAGTTTGTCAATGGTTGAATTTAAAGTCAGATATACGAAAAGTTCAACATTTAAAAATTATTTCTATTTTTTTTTTAACAAAAGAAAAAGTCTTAAAATTAGGTATACCTGGTTTTCAGTTAACCCAATGACATTTTCATTCTTGTTATCCCCTTTTTCAGATTGAAATGCGACTGTTATCATAGCAATGAAGACGTTCAGGAAGAAGAATGGAGCAATGGCAATATACACAACAAAAAAGATAGAAACGGGTAAATTCACTTCGTATTTTGGTCCCTTGTCAATCCCAGAGCTTGATATGGCGGAATCTAAAATGCTAAAAGGAGTAAGAATTTGAAAATAGTGTAATACACTAAAAAGCGTTTGATTTAAATAAGATTCAACCAATTTTATTGTTCTTAAGTAACTATTCTGTAGGTTAAGATAAAAATAAATGTAACCCACTTATCGAAAAGAGAGAGGGGATGCCACACCATTATATATATATATATATATATATAAATATATATATATATATATATATATATATATATATATATATATATATATATATATATATATATATATATATAATTTTTAAAAAATCTTACTCTGGCCAACCTTCTCCAGTAGTTATGACGAACAGAGTGGTCATCGCAGCAAAAACGTTATCGAAGTGAAAATCACGCCGCTTCCATTCTCTGTTGCTGACTTTCAAGTTTTGAAAGTGTAATCCTGTATACTGGATAAATGTTCCCCTACAATCAGCAAAAATTCCAATAAGTACCAGACATCGCCAAATAGATGACCCTTATTTTTTTAATATTCTTTTTTATACCTGCACTGATCTTTTTGCTTTGTGATGTCAGTGCAATAGCACAGTCTTCCCTTCAGCAGTTGAACCGCCATGATGGCAAATGTGAAGTGCATCAGTACATATATCAAAACAAGAGGTCCTACGCTCTTTACCGACTTCAGAAACTTCTCACATGCCGTCTATACAAGATAAAACAAACAAATATCAGCAAAACAATTGATGTATGCTTTCTTTGTATATAATGTACTCAGTTCAAAATGCCATATCTTCAGCATTATCAGTAAATCCTTTTAATTACCTTTAAGCCTTTAAACGTTTTGACGTTGATAGTTCTTAAAATCCTTAATATTCGCAACACCCTAAAGATCTTCAACGACTTCGTATTTGAGTCTCTACAGTTAAAAAGTAAACAAAATCGCAAATATATAGTGTTCGTGAACGTATACACTTGTTAAGATTCTTGTGAACATTAAAGGAGAACCATTCAAAGCAAATTGTGTCAGTAAAGTAAATATATCTTATTTAAATATATTTTCCATCCTAAGCAAAACCGTGCAAGAATATTCGGTTTTCAAGTTTTCTTACCTTATAAATAAGGATACAATAGAAGCAACAACAATTACAGCATCCAAATAATTCCAGGCATATCTTAAATATGATCCTTCATGCAATACAAATCCCATATCGATAATCTATGACAAAATTTTAAAAAATCTTAATGGTTTGTTAGTCCTCCAGCTAAATTACGTAAAACAATATTATATTATTTAGATTACCTTAACGCTATTACAAATATCTAATTACTGTTTGTTCAGTTAAAAAAATCACGAACTTTCAGTATCATTTCCATGGTGAAAACTATAGCAAAAACAGAGTCTATCCAAAACAGGACTTTGTTGTGGACGGAGTTATTGCCCTTCGAAGGATCTTCTGCCGCTAGAGTAATGCTACTCAGTACGATACAGACCATCACCAATTTTTCAAACCAATCATGATGGACCACCTTTCGGACGAACACTCTCACCCTGCAATCGAAATCAATTATCTCCCTCGAGCTCTTCTTTCCAGAAAAAGGATCATATACTGAACCGCAAAAGTTGCGTCACAAAAGCTGTTTGGAAATTACCAATGTTGGAATACATTTTTTTTCGGAAATGTTCATTTTTTGTATCTTTCTTTTGTATGTTTTTGTCCATTTGCTAGTTTTACGGTTAAATACACTTTGATATTACGTCAGTAATGATGCAGTATCCACTGGTGTGGTGCACCTTCGAAAACAATTGATAGAAAAGGTAATGCAGAGTTTGGTGTTGCAAACGTTTACAGTTTTGATCATGTTTGGGGTGTCTTTGGACTGTTCCAAATTTTTGGACCTACTTAGTATATTGGTCCAGGTAGGGACAATGGGGTAATAGCTGCGTGACACCAATCGGGTTCGTCGACTCCATATTGTGCCACACTTTGCTAAACATCAATATCACATATTCAGCAGGGCAGCACACACTGCTAGAGTAACTATAGACTTGCTAAAACAAAATTAAAACCCTACTGGACATTTACTGGATGAGGTTCAAAGACTCCTCAATAATTTCCATCCAAGGCTGACAGCAGCAAATAAACTTTTGGTATCCTTTCTACGGATGTAGGTTGACATTCTTATGACATTGGTTCACTACATGTACAGACGGTGTAAGGATTATAACTACACCTACTGTACAGAATGTGATCAACGCTAATGGGGTACATACGTGTTATTGAGAGTAAAAACGGTTTTTGCGTAATTATATGCAGATGCCACTTGTCTCTTGAATGCAACTGGTAGTAAAATAAATGTTTTATAACTCAGTAGGCACTTTTTTTTTCAATCAAAAATAATTTTGGATTTTAAATAATTATTGAAAATAGTTCTCTTATATGCATATTTAGATGCAGCGTTTCCTTTTCGGTTTTGTATATTCCAAAACACATTGGTGAAGACATGTCATATCAATGCACCTATAATTATCTATTCATAGCATCATACTATTCAGAATCTTCGCAAAAAATGTAAAGAAAGGAAAAGCAAGACTTTTTAAAAATATAATCCTTTCTGAATACTCGAGCAAAAAAAGCAGGTCTGTTTGTTTGTTTTTTTTTTTATTTTACAATCCTTTCTGAAAACTCACCAGCTATGTGCGCCGAAGATGCAAAGAGTACGATGTGGTATTATGCTATCTTCTTTTCCATCAGCAATGCTGCTTTTTCTTTCAAATAATTCATAGCAATAATAACTTTTATAGCATTGGATTATCTTTTTTAAAGATAGACAAGGCTATACATATACAAAAATTTACACTTTTTAGTCCCATCTCATTGACATTATATTCTAACATATTATATTCTAACAAGAGGCCCAAGGGCTTTAACGGTCAACTGAGTATAATACAATGCCGTAAATCTATAAAGTATAAAACAAAATGGATGAACATATGCTGCCCAAAAGCAAAGAAAAAAGTTATTACGATGAACAGGGATCAACAAAATAGTTAATCTACATGTTGTGCTAAGTAACCAATAGAATATCTATTTACTTGCCTTTACTTATCAGTGCTAGAACATTGCTATTTGTCACTAGCACCATGCATGCTACACATTAGTAATTGAACAAATACGGTTGACCCATTATATTCCCTTCCACATTAGCCTCTATTGGTCTTTGAAGAACATTTAATGGACAAAGGGTATTTTTGTCTCATTTATTCATGAATTATTTACAAGTCTATCAGACCAATGAAAAACTTACTTTGAAATTACTTTTTCTATTATGGTATACAATAAGAATTCTTGTTAATTTTTTATTCAAAATTGACATATTTAATTCATTATTTAGAGATTAATAGCAAAGAGGAATAACTTCTCTTAGTAGAGTATAGATTTTCCTTCAAGATAAATAGAGCCCTGCTCAGTACCATAACAGTTAACCCAGAATCCTAAATTTCATAAATCGGGTAAAGGTATTCTTGTTTTTTTTACAATATTAATTGTACCCTGTTTGCTTCCTAGATGTCTAGGAGCAGAAAACAATATTAATGCATTTTTGCTATTTAATCAATAGAGTCTCGCCCTTACAAAACCTCTGACTCAATGACGACGGATGAAAACAGACTGCAATTATAGTTCACCTGAGTGACTCAGGTAACTTAAGCTTTGTAACTTAATTTTAAGGAAAAATTCTTGGAATCGTTTAAAATGTATTAAAAATAAATATTGTAAGACTTACACGTTATCATGAGTACCTTCCTCATCTTCTGTTCTTTCTTTATTTATTTCAGACTTTCAGAAAGAAGAATACGAATCATGATTTTTAAAATGTACGTTTTGGTACATTAAAAAAAGGGGGGGGCTCTCAATCGTCACAACACGCTTTTTGCAGTTTATCTAATGATTGTTTCAAAACCAAATGTAAAAAAATGTTTATGGAAATAATGTTCTCATACTCACTTTCTCTGATTCAGATTTTTTTACTCAACAAGGCTATCTATTGCAATGACAAAGAAAACATTGAAAAAAATTGTACAAGGAAATAATGTTCTCATACTCACTTTCTCTGATTCAGAGCGTTCTTTTGCCTCAGCAAGACTATCTACTGCAATGGCGAAGAAAACATTGAGAAGTGTATCTAAGGAGAGTTAAAGAAAATTCAATCTATTCAAAATAAGTTGCTAAATACAATACAATGTAAGATAAAAAGGTTTGAAGTAAATATGAACAGGTTTGACCCTTCCCCTTCCTATCCATTTCCTTTAAGGAATATATGTTCAATGAATGAAAAGAAATTGCTGTGCATACTACAGATTTATAGAAACGTGATTATGGATACAAAATATGTTTTTTAAAGAAGCAAAGCCACGGTTTGATCCGAAAGTTTTTGATTTTTATATTTCCTTTTTTTCCAATAAATTAAGTATTTCTAATACTCAGCCAAACAAATTCTATTTGTGTTACATAGGCCCCAATCTTTGTTATGAAAATATGTAAATAAAAACAGGTTCGAGTTTGCATCACAAAGAATCGCCTAGAAATGCCTAGGATAACCCACTGCTTACATTCAAAATGGAAGAAAAAAATTTGTAAATTTTCAGATAATGGTGGCTGTGTTTCTATAATAATTCATTCTTTCTTTATTAGGCTATTTTTAAGCAAACCGCTAAAATGTATTGTCACGTCACTCAGAGCTCTTTACTTTACTAAACAGTCACTGGGCTCAAAAATGATTCCATACTGTGCAAAACGGGTGCGATCATCATTTGTTTGTTGTTTAACGTCCTTCTCGAGAATTTTTCACTCACATGGAGACGCCACCACTTGCAGGTGGAGAGCTGCAAATTTTGACCTATACTGGGCACTTAGGGCCATTGAGCAGTGAGGGATCTTTTTTGTGCCAGCACCTATATACTGCGACACGAGACCTCGGTTTATACGGTCTCATCCGAAGGACCAGTCTCCACATCCCCTAGTGGGATTCGAACCCGCGACGTAAGGATCAACTCCTTACTCCGCGACGCTCTAACCACTGCGCCACGCGGGTGACCGACCATCATTTGAGTTCATGCTCGACTAATATTGGCGCCTCACGGAAGTCACCTGCAGATTCAGAGATGCTTGCTGAATAATGTTTAATATGGAAGTTAACTTCTTAGAATTACACACTGCAATCGGATTTGTAAATCCATGAATTTTCGCCGTACCTTTTGATACGGGATCACGTTCGTTCACTGAAAGTGAAAAGTAAAAAGTTCTTCTAGTACTGCACTGGTGGAAGCATATCGTGCTCTCGGAGTCGGTTGTCAACAGCTTTTTGACTGAAAGGCCTTAATCCAGGTATCGTTTTGACTGTCGAACTTGACTTTGGAAGTGATTCCCGAGGTTCAAAAGACATTTGTAATTATATTATCTAAATGACATCACGAGGACATCCACTCCCTGGACGGTTTCGGGCGTTTCCAAATTCCTGTTACGGTCTTTGTAGAGACTGTAGCATTTCAATGCACTTTTACACATGCATATCTTCGTTACATAATTAAGCTTGCAACATACACATTGCTCATACTTGTACTCGCTATTTTTTTTTATTAATTCCTGGAATTCCAAATATTCCAATTAAATTTTTTTTCTCTGAATTTTAGATTGTTAAAGAATATTGTACTCAGAAATTGCATCTGAAGAATCGGAAAAAGTAATATAGTCAAATAAAGTGTGCTTATAGACATGAAAAGTCACGTCTTTGACACAATGCTATATCGAATGAATACAAAGACCCTGTCGTTAAATATCAAAACGCTATATTCAAATAGATATTAAATTTATTTACAATTCTTGATATGCAATATTACTTTTTTCCATTTTGAAAATTTTCAACTTATTCTACTCGAAAAATATAGAGGATAAAAAAGTGCTGATGAATTATCCAACCATTTCAATTTCAAGATTCCTTGGATATATGCAAATATTAAAAAGGTATATTTTCCGCTTTTGGTTTCCTGTGGAAGAAAATGGCAGAAAACGAGTTTTGCCTATATTATTTTTACCTGTTCCATTAGTTTTACAAAAGAGCAGTAAAAAGATACAGTTTCCAAAGAGAACGGCAATTATGAAGAAGAACACCACGGAGACGCCCACTCCGTCTATTCCACCATAGGCCCGGACTCCGTTGTACATGACTGAATTCCAGTCCTCCGCCGTTATAATCTGAAGGAGAGCACCTGATAATTTACATTGAGATACATGTATCTGAAAGAAAAGAATAATTAAGAGGAATAACACAATAAAGTTCACCTGAAATACTGTCAATATAGCTTTTGGGAAAGAATCAAAATGGGAAGCCGGTCTCCCTTCCTCAAAATTAAACCTAAACAAATATAACATTATAAAAGTTAAGACTTTTATCACAAATTTAAAGAAATTGTTTTATATAACGTGTTTAGAGTAGCTGTACACGATATTTATATTAACCGTCCGCCAAACAGCTGCATCCCAATCAGAGAAGTCACAAACAGGAAGAGGAAGAGGAGAAATAGCAGACTCAGCATGTACGATATACTTCCGGCCATCACCTGTATAAGTTTCTCTATTTTGTCATTATACCTGTAAAAACCAACATTTTACGTGTTTATTCGAAAACCATCATTAAATGTGTTGAAGTACAACATTTTTATGCACAGAAGAGATAAAACGATCGAACCTTGTTTTCTTGAAAACTCTTAGCAATCTCAAACTTCTGAAGACACTACACCTCAAGCCTTGATTACCAGAGTGAATAAGCAGGATAAGCCCTATGACACTAATCACCCAAACCTGCAGGTGTTGTACATTATTATCATGTCTATTAATTAGAGATTAATGAAATGTCAAATTGTTAACAAAAACGTTTTTAATTTACTTAAAAATTCACATAGATTTGAAAGGTTTTTTTTCCGTTGAAGGGTTTGCTCCACTTAATATACTTGCTAAGGAGATGAAATTCACTTTTGAAAAAATAAACCCCTTGCACCACAAAGCCCACCTGAAACACAAAACATCTTCAAGAAAATGGTTATGTAATTGTAGACATCCATTATTTGAACAATTTACATTACAGCATATTGAGGCATTTTTGTTATTGTCAATGCATTTATGAATTGGACCTATTTACCCAATTATGGCTCAGATGTCCCAGAGGCCTTGCATTGAACAACAATGAATCTAAATTACATGGGGATACATGCATATTAATAAAAAAAATTTTCTTTATAAAAATGGTCTTCTATTGTAGCCATGCCCTTGCTCCAAGAACATTTAAACTACATAAGAATGATTAACTATTATTTGACTAATTATGGCCCTAGAATCCCAAGAAGAAATCTAGTGGAAATTAAAACCTCTTAGTGTAGCCTAGGAATTAAAAATGTTTGAAAAAATTGATTCAAAACTACAAGAAAAATTTATTTACCAGTATGTCTAATTATACGCCAGTTACTACTAAGAGAAGAAATTTTTGAAGATTTTTTTTTCTTGTATACGACTATAATGCTTGTAATGAGAGACGGAAAGGCCAACTGACGGACACCGGACAATCTTCGATCAGAAAAATCTTTGGATCAATGATATAGAAACACTAAAGAACAACAAACATACTTACCAATACATCGAATCTGTTGAAGGAGGAGTAGAAATATTGTCGATATCCATGCGCGCATACCCTTAGAACTACTTCAATAGTAAATAACACAACAAACAATATTTCCATATAATCTGAAATAAAAGAATATATTTTATACTATCACTGCAATCACTACAGAGAGAGAGAAAGAGAGAGAGAGAGATCTTTATTTTCTTTTATAATTTAAGCTGTTTCTTATGGTTTTGTGTTCCAACCTCTGTTCTCCCCAAGGGTCCGTGTTTTTGCCCTCTTCACGTTTCGTTTCTTTACAGAATTAATGAGATTGAACACAGTTCGTCATCTTCTCATTGTTCGTGTTATACAATTGAAATACGTGAAGATAACGAACAGTGACCGATCTAAAACAACCTACAAACAATACTCATCCGTGAACAGGGCATAAACACGAAGCCCTGGAAATTCAAGAGGTTGGATCAGGTGCCTAGAAGGAGTGAGCATCCCCTGTCGACCGGTCACACCCGCCGTGAGCCCTATGTATTGATCAGGTAGGCGGAGCACTCCGTAGACAAATTTAATATAAAAACAAAGCCCAACAATCTGTATGAAATATGTCAGTCAAAATACGACCCAATGACAGGTGTATTTGCTAACAAGGTCATTATAATCAGAAACCGTTCTGATTTTAATCAAGGTTGTTGAAATCCCTGTGCATAACAAATAAAATGCAAAATGAAAAATAAAGTAAATTGTGGAGGTAAGTTTTTCGAGTTTCTTTTTACTTGTAAGCAGACGGAAAACTGCAATAAGGTTGGTTGTGATCCTAGTAACATTAGACTTAGCAAGCGTTTGAAGGTTCATTTATGATTCAAAAAACCAATTGAAAATCTAAAATAAGCCAGCCTTGTCAGGTTCCTCAAAATATCTTTTATCACAGATTTGCCAAGATGTGAAATGTAAACAAACTGATCATTTAAGTCGATATGAACTGCTTTATAGTGTAAAAACTGTCAATTAATAAGGTTGATCTTATGCTGAACATCACGTGAAAGGATAACTGTGCGTTTGCTATGCACTACTTTGACTATATCGAAATACACTGCAGACTAGTCATCCCACTCCATAACAAGGAAGACAAAAAAGATAACCTTCTAGAGATGTAGAATATATCTGAACTACTAAACCGAGATATAAATTGCATGTGAGGGACAATATGAAAACAACCTGAAAACATTTAGAAAGTCTTAAAGAAATGCTGAACGGTGTTGTTGTTGTAGGGGAGTTTGGATTTTACTTAGAAAGAATGAAAACCATAGATAAGAAAAGGCTCGTGTATAAGGAAGTTCACACAAAGTGGACTTCAGTTCTGACCACATTCTCACAGGAGGATAGAGAAGTAGAGAAGCCTAGAAACGCTTGAAAAGACAAAGAAGACAACTAGTACACTGACAATGTGGATGCAAAAAGATGCTGACGGCACTGTGGTAAAATTCATGTGAAATAATCAGAATTTTTTTTAAATATGTAAGAAATCATAGTGGTGTTAAAATTTCATGAAAGAAATCTAATGAGAAACATTAGAATCTGTGAAATAGTCAAAGATTTGTGATTATATATAAGAACAACCCCGATGATGAAAGTTCATTCAATATAACCGGAAAGAGAAACATAAATAGAAGTAGAAAGCAGAGGGAAAGAAATTTAAAAATCTTGTAGAAAGTTTTCGGGCATAAGGAATGAGTATTAGTAGAACTATACCAGAAATACCAGAAAAAGGAATCCATGTTCTAATATAGGACTTTTCCTGGAAATTTCTCAAATAAGAGATATCTTGTTTGTGACAATTAATGTAATGTTATTGTTTTCAGTATAAGTTGGACCGTAGGCAAATGACAGAAAAAAAGCAATGAAAGAATCATAAGACTACTAAAAGAAAGACATGCAACAAGTAAAAGTAACACGAAAGAAAGATATGGAAAGCAAAAAAGTAATAAAAATTGTTTTCTTTAAATTTTGGAGATAAGATAGCCATGGAAAATTCCAATTAAAAAACTGTATGAAAACAATTGCCTGAGACAGGATACCAGGTAGAACAACAGGAACAACACATCAATCTGAAGGAATAGCGAAACAAATAGCATAAAGAATTTAAAAAAAAAAGTGTAAAAGGTGAAAGAGTCAAACGTGAATGGAGGAAATAAAATGACAACTAAAGACACGAAAATAGGTAAACAATATTGGGAACTTAGGTGTCGATAGACAAAAAATTGACCATAGCAAACTACCATGACACAAATGTTTATTGTTACTCATCATACTTTAAACTAATAATCTTTGGTTAATTGTATTATTATTCTTTATACATAAATAAAAAAACAAACAAAAAAAAACATCCACTACGGTTTTACTTATATTATTATTGAGTCTTATTTCAATGCTGGACTATACAGTAGGTAAATACTGAGGTAAATCTTCATGCAATAGACGTAGCAATCACTTCTTACACTGTAAACTATCCAGCCATTGAGGCTGATTGTAATGTTCTGTAGCTGTTATTACAGTGTTAGCTGCCACACAAGACATTGTACCCCAAAAGAAAACGTCCGAGTCCACTATTCGTCTCACATACAATATCCTATTAAAACCAAAAAAAAAAAAAAAAAACATAAAGGTCAAAGATAATGAAACTAACACATATCTTTGAATCTTATTTTTTTTTAGAAGAATGTATATATTCATTCAATAATAAAACCGACATGATAAAAATATATTACCTTATTTTTGACATCTCTCTTTTGAAAGCTGAAAAGTTGAAAACGGAAATAAATTTTGAAGTCCTGAATTAAAAAAAAAAATGTAGACGTTTTAAAATATATTTTGAAAAACTAACCTTCTTTAAAACTTTCATGTGTCTGCTTCGGTAAAGAAGATTGCTCCCTACACATAATTTCCTCTGAAAAAATGACCTCAAATTATATAATACCTGCCAAACTGGAACATTTTTTTTCATTTACTTTAAGTTATTGTAAAAACACTTTCACATCATGATAAAAATTAAATTGATGTCTATTACAAAAATTGCTAAAGCTTTTTACATAGAGGTATAATTATATCACTAAGGTATGAAAATATAAATGAAAAATCAAAACATGTCTAATCCTCCTTTGGTTTACGATTAAATTTACACTTTCTATCATGTCTTACAACAGCTAGTAGACAATACAAATTATGTTCTTTGGTTATAATTGTGTATTATACACTGTATGCGACGTATTACATATAGATAAAAATACGTTCAAATTTTGTTCTGAAACATGAATGTTCTACCAGGTTAATGTTGTTTTCCTGCTTACCCCCTCTGTTTATCCACTGGAAATAGTTTCGCATTTGTTGTTTTTCATTTGGATCTTGGAATTTTTCATTTTTCTTTTCTCGTTGTATTTTTTCTCGTTCTCTTGTAAAGACCCTGAAATCATCACGTGTGCTTCAAAACCTTGATTACATCTGATATATAAATATGTTTAAGATATAGAATGGTTTTATAGAATACAGAATTTACACAATGTCTTGATTACCATCGTCGGATACCCACGAGTGATCTCGTCTATTATTTATCACCCGGGTGATAAGTAAGATCGTGGGTATCCGACGATACGTGATTACATAGAATATAGAATGTACATAATGTCTTGGTACATAGAATATGGAGTATTAAGCATACTTACCCTTTTAATATTCCAAGTACGAGATTCATCATAAAAAGGGCACAGAACATTATAAGTGGGATAAAATACAGCCAGTTACACCGGGTTCCTTTGGCGTCGTTAGTCTGGAAAATCAAATATGAAAGGAAACGCTATGTACATCTCTCAACAAACAATAATGATAATTGTAAAACTACAAACGACCTGTCTTTTTTTTCACTATTTTTATGTACAGTGTATATCAATGAAATAGATTTGTTGTATGAATTTGATAGTAATGCTTCTGGGCAAGAAATTTACGAAAGAGTAAAAGTAGGTTTCTTTAAGTTGTTAACAAACTACATGTACATGTGTGTTTTTAAACTTTTTTAGGGTAGTATAATTTTATTGCTACAAATGGTATATTAAAATAATAAATAATCAATAACTTGTTTTGTTTTTTTTAGCATCAACTGATAAATTTTTATAACCTTTTTATATTCTAAGAATTACAATTACAGTATTTAAAATTATCTGAAAAGCAAATATCCACTAGATTTATTTCAATGTGCAATATTGATATATTGTAAAATCATTTTTTTTTCTATTAAGCAACTTTTTTTTCAAAATAAGAAGCTGGATCCAGCGAGGGTCACGAAGGTTCGATATCACCCAGCACAAAGGGTTTTCAATGTCGTGACTTAGGAAAAAAACTGGATCAAACCATGAAAATACTCCTTAATCATTAAGGTTCATGAATTTGTTTTACCCAGTAATACAAGTCGGTCCAACCTTCCATAGTGAGACACTGAAATACTGTCAGTAATGCAAGGCCAATGTTGTTGAAGCTTGTAATACCCCTGTTGGGCCCTATCCAATACCGACGACATGTGGTATTTCCAGTGCAATGGTGACCATCGCTGTCAAGGTCAACCTGGCATGGCCGCTGGGGTTCTACCATGTCGGAAAGGCATACTCTATCTGTTCAAAATATATTGAAATTTTTCACAAAAGAAATCTTACAAAATCATTTCCTTCAAGACCAATTTTATTAAAGATATGGAAGATCTGGGAAAGCATAGAAATGGCTTTGATCAAAACAAGATTTTGAATTAAACAGGCATTTCTACATGTAAGTACTTTTAAAGGAAATGACCAGGAAGCGTACATTTAAAGGCCAAATGTACATTTAATCTTTCTCGACCTTTGCTCGCAAGAGACACATACGTAAAAAATTCTTTCCCCTCAACATTCATGTTCGAATACTTTTGTTTTCATTCAATGCTTACATGCATATTAATGATAATTTTTCCCCCGCTAAAGAAAATAGATTATTCTTTAGCTTCAGAAGGGCATATTGAGAAAAATTTCTCCGCTATTGAATAGCATATATACACTAGACAAAATTGCTAACGCACCACCAAATAAAATTAATATTTTACTTTTCAAAACTTCTTAATGATGTATTTGATATATAATTATATTACTTAAATAAAAAATGAGGCATTTAAATGCCTTTACTGATAGATAACTACAATGTTTACTGAAGCGTAACCATTTCATAGAAACAATTAAAATCGTGTCCATACTATTTTGGAAGAATAAATTTCTATTTTTTTTCTTTGTGTTTGTGTTCTTTACATTTGTACTAATTAAAAACTCAGAAAAAAAGTTGCACCATGTGCGGCGTTTGACCTTAGAAAAGCGTGCTAAAGCAGACAGTATGGTGGCTACAGGGGGTTTCTATAAAGAAATTTTTAAAAAATAAAAACAATTAAAAGATTGTGAATTCCTTTAATGAGAAATTGTTTCAAATAGATTAACAAACATAAAAATGTTTAATATAGATAGCCACGGCATTAAGTAAGCAGCACACGATAATTTGAAAATTGTACCACAAAATTGGGTCAACCGGAAGTTGGGTGGATTTGGTATGGACACCAAGGCACTGGATGACTACTAGGCGATATGATAGTCAATAACTGTATGTTATTTGATTTTTAACTTGGAGACTGCTTCTGTGGTAACCTCACGGACCACCTTTGGTGATCACCAACTTCATATCTGGGCAAAAACGGTGCGCAGTGCACGTCGGAAAATTGGTTTTCGGGCAATAAGGTCATTTAAGGGTCTTGTCATGATATCAAGACATTTGTCAATCCCACTGTTTTGGAAAAGATGGTGTATTATACATGTATATTCTATTACCGATCGGGTAAATGTTCGATTCACAAATAAGAATAACAAGTGGTGCGTTAGCAATTGTGTCTAGTGTATACATGCATAACAAAGTTATATATTGAAAAATTCTCTGTAGTACATCAGGCTCGCTAGATGTTGCAAAAAAAAATCAACCCCTTGATAAGATTCGGAAAAAATACATAATTTGAGGGAAAAAAATGTCGACTCTTTTACGACTTTTTCGGTTAAAAAGGCATTTGCCTCATTTAGGCATAGTCAACAGAGTATTGTATCGCTTGAAAACGTTAACGTTTTAAAGACATTTTTGTATAGAAATAAAACACATACTTAATTTCTAATTAATACTAAATAAAAAAAATTATCTTAAGAAGTTCCAAGAACGTCTGTTTTAAGATCTTTATAACCGGTATTCCAAACATTAATACAAGGAAGTATACATTTATATAAAAAAAAAATTGAAGCACCCTTTATAAGTGTGTATAATTTATTGCAATCTCTCCATTTCTCTTTTTACGACATAGACTTGATTTCATCCACATCAGATCTGTTGAATTAAAAGGGTTTGTTAACATGGATCTCAAAAGCTATCTTTGTTATAGACAAAACAAATATTTCATAAAGCTGACAGATTTTTTATTTCATAAAATTACTCAAAGATAGATTTTTATCCAATTTTTATGGATAAATGATAAGGAAAGTAAGAAGAATTCCTGATAATCAGAATTTCCTACAGTGAGTTCGATATAAGTTTTACTGATCTTTGAAAATTACCGTGATTAGCAATCCTGGATCTATTATCTTTGAAGCAAGCCCTGTTAAATGCTCCCTGGTAGTAGTCCATACCAATAATGGCGAAAATCAGCACTGCCATTGTGACGAGAAAGAAGACGGGCAGCAGAGGAAATACGGACCGAAAAATAGTCATGGTCACTATCTTCATATCTGAAATATCATTTTCCTTAAGGATGATTTAGACTTCTTAGAGCTATGTATTTGTTTTTATCAAGTTTTTCTAGACAAAAATATATACCTTGCACAATACAGTTATACTATCAAAGCACAAAATTATAGTCTCATGACATGGTCAAATGTTTCTATGTAGAGAACTTAAATTGTAACTAAACTTTATTCACAGATTCTCAAACTTTAGACTTAGGCTTTCCCAACGTTAAGTACTGCAACTCATTTCGCCAAAAAAACAAAAACAAACAAACAAACAAACAAAACAAAACAAAACATAAAAACAGATGTGCATCTGTGTTTTTTTTTCCAGATGGAATAAACCTTCAGCGAAGAAAAGAATAATCTTACTTGGTATTCCAGATACGTCTTAGGACCGCAGTACTCGTGTCAATCTCGGTAGAATTAAACTTACTGTATGTTTCAATACTCATAATACTCGTGTCAATCTCAGTAGAGTTAACCGTACTTGGTATTCCAGATATAAATCTTAGCACCCGCAATATATTAATACATGTTAACCTTACTTCCAGAAATAAATCTCAGGACCCACAATACACCTATCAGTCTTATAGAGTTAAGCTTTCTTAGTATCCCAGATATGCCTCAGAATCCTCAGTACTCGTGTCAATATCAGTAGAGTTACCTTTATTTAGTATTCCAGATATGTCTCGAAATCCTCAGTGTTCGTGTCAATATCAGTAAAGCTAAGCTTACTTGGTATTCCAGATATAAGTCTCAGGGCCCGCAGGACTCGTGCTAATCTCAGTAGATTCAGGTCTATATCGTCACCCAAAAAGGTTATGATGTGCTCTAAAATTCTGTTGAGAAATTTGCATTTTCAAAAATGAAAAATGATTTAAAAAATAAATCTAATTTGGTCATTCATTAAGTCTTTTTGATTTGTTTTAAAGTGTTAATACTAATTTATAAAGATGTGAGTTATGAGTCCTTTAATTTGTTTTGTTAATAGCTGCTACCTCTTTGGCCCATTGACTGTTGGTAAGTGGTTAGTATTTGCAAACTATAGTCTGCTTTATTCCAGGACATGATGAGCAAAGAGTCAAAAATATGAATTTCTTGTTCCCCTGATTTAGTAAAGTCAGGTTAATGGTTAAGTCAGACTACTGTTATTTTACTAACCGTAAAGGTCTGTATAAAGGTATTAACGTTTTCTTTAAGGCAAACGTTTGTTGAAGTCTGTTTATGAGACAGGTTAGGTTCACTAATATGTTTGTTAATCAGCCTCTTAGCGTCAACTTATCCATCGCACTTTAGTTTAGTCCTTCATTCAGTGTGTTTTAGGAAGTGAGTAGACAAAGCCAATTACACATGTACTTAATTACTGTGACCTTATGTTGTGGATTTGGGAATTTTTTTTTCGTTAATCATTTCCAATCCATATCATAAAACGGTTTAATAAATTTGATATATGTACAAGGGCACGATGTATCACGCCTTGGTGAATTATTTTTTAGCAGACCTCACATGTGCCCTCAATTTATTGAGTTTAGAAATCAGATTGTGAGCATTCAGCTACATATTATGCATTTAACAGTATAAAAGATTATAAACCTTCAGTTTAAGTATACTTACCCCAAAATAACGACAGTAAAATCAAGTTTGTTCCAGTTGTCCCGTAGATATGCGTTTTTCCCACAAATGAAACCCTTTGCAATTATTTTCAACACAGCTTCGGCGGTAAAGATGGACAAAAAATAAACTTCTGATTTTTCCTAAAATAAGAAAACATGTGCCAAGACAATTATGTAGATTTTAAGCCTTCTCGAATATGAATTAACTCGAATGAAATTGATAGCTTACCAGTTCTATGGTTAGTTTTGTTTTGTCATTGTTTGGTAAATGTTCCTCTAGCGCTAACACAATACAATTAGCTATAATTGTAATTAGGATGAAAATTTCAAAAAATCTAAGGTGTGTTAAGGTGTGTACACAAACTAACAGTGTAATACTTAAAAAAAAATGATAGTACATTTATATTAGAGTAGCCTGATTTATAAGACACCTCTGATGTTAGAGGATCTAACGGCCTCGGGCAAACAGTTCGGTTCTTGGGTCCGACAAAACGCATGTTGCCCTCAAACCCAGTCAATAAATGTATGTTGTATAACAAAAGAGTTGGGATATTTTATGTGGATGCACCACTTAAGAATTTTTCAAGGTCCTTGATGATCCACATATCTACATGTACATTGAACTCAAGCTTTAGAGTACAAGTATTTGAATAAATTCGTTTCCGCGAGTGAGCTGCTGGGAAATACTCATTATCTTTTTTTCTAGGTATATTATATTCTACACTTGAATCTGCCATCATTCGACAGTATGCCATCTGTACACATATATACATGTTTATGATCTGAAATTATGCAACGTAAATTACAAGTCAAATATCGTTGGAACCAAGAAAAAAGTTGAATTATCCGAGGATTCAATGTACAGAGTTTAAAATACATTTTACACTTCGAGGTCAAAATTATTTTTTTTCAAGCAAGCTTTTTGCGTACATGTATATCACTATTGGTTAATTTATTGAGTATTTTCCTGATTATTAAAGGTTGGCAAATAAGGTATTCTAATGTGAATTTATCTTTCCACACAGGCTTACCAAATGTTTCAATTGGGTGTGGTTACAAAATATGTGTTGTGTACTACATATGACCATGACCTTGAAGTTTAAACTAACTTTATCCTTCTGACCAATTTGTCCTATTTTACATTTTTTTTTCTTTTTTTCAAGGAAAGAAATTTTTGCATCTTTTATATGGAAGTTTATGTGAGTGTTCTTCACTTAAGATATTCCCTATTTACCCTATATAACCAGGAAGAAAACGGTTAAAGCTGAATTGTCAAGGATATTTACTCTCCGTCACATATATTGCTATTCTTCTGACGAACCATTTTCTCTCAAATATAAACAGTGATCTGTCATTGATAGTGTTTGCATGTAACTGCGGGCCTGTTTGAATTTCACTGACAAGTTCATATATAGTTCGTCTTTCTTGTGACGAAGATTTCTGTCGACGCATTGGGTTTCTTTGTTCCTTTAATTCCATCATTCAATGTTAAAGATGGCCCAATACCAGCATCTTCTAGTATTATGTCACTTCATCATCTCAGCTGAAATGATTGTCTTCGGTGAATGATGCCCCAAATCTGATCAAGATATATCTCATATATAAGCACATGTATAATCTCGTCATACATCATAAAAGCACAGACTTCATTATTATGACAAAAAAGTCTTCACTTCACATCTCCACAAACAAATGCTATTAATAAAACATATGTAACATGCATTTTATTCTTGTTAATGTTACTTTATAAGAAGGCTGTACAATGTAGGTATTTATTTAAAAATAAACATATTGCATATCAATATATCCTTTATAGTTTGGTCATCATGGTGCCATCATCCGCTAAAAAGAAATATCTACCTGTAAAATGTTTAATTGTCTCAAAATTCAAATTACTCGAAAAGCTAAGTTATATTTATAAAGATACCGATGCTTTTATGTCATATATAGATCCTGCCCGATGAGAGGATGTCAAAAAATAACAGATTCATGTCTTCCCTCTGTGTGTGTGTGTGTGTGTTTTTAGGTAATCTTACATATTTTTGTTAATTCGTAACACATGCACAAAGTCGTATATATCTTACCTGCAAAATACCAATTATTACCACACAGCTGAAATGTCCTTTTTGAAGTAAATGTAGATACTTTTTTGTCATTATAAAAATCTTGTGAATTTTACAATCTGAAAATCAAACTTCCCTCTTCCTGTGCAATGATCTGATGTTTATCTTGCATATATTTGATATCTGTATATACAATCATGTCCACTTCAGAATATCGTTGGAAGAACAATTGACTGAAAGTATTTTTAAAAATACTGCCTAAAACAAGGGAGCAATGTATTTAAAGTGTGTGAGGGTGTGTGCGTGAGGTGTGTGTAGGGTGTAGCTTCCTTTCCATGCATATTTCATCCTCAGAGAAATTACAAATACATAATGTAATTTTGAATGCTTTTATTTTTATTCATTAAGAGAGAATGAGTGTTAACAGTCAATACTAAATTAGGATACCAGTACTACTATGTTAATAATTATTTTGAGGTAAAATACAAGAAATTAAAGAGGAAATCGCTAATTGAAAAGTTTTGGGGAAAAAATACAACACTTAAGGATATCCGATCCTCAGCCAGGCCCCTAGACCATAAACTGAGAACAGACTTAAGTCAAAATTTCACTATTAAAACTTTTGAAATAATTTTGATATTGAAACAAAATTTTCATCTTATATTTGAATTGAAATATTACACAACATTGCAAATTTTTAAGCAAATACATTAAATAAAACTCAAGATATTAAAAATCAAAATTTGACTTAAGTCTGTTCTCAGTTTATGGTCTTGGGGCCAGGAAGGATAACTCTTTAATTTATCATTAAATTCAAAAAGTCTCAAAATGAAGCTTAAATATGAAATCGTTTCATGCAACAATTTTCATTTTATGCATCTCAATGTGATTCAAGGTTTTTTGAAGTTTTAAAAACAGTCTTTTAAAACGTTGATATTTTTACCCTATAAAGTTATGTTACAAATACAGATTTAAAGAAATCGACTTTTCTTTTAATTTAGCCTTAGACACCAATGCTAATTAGCATGATATGAAATAAGAAAGTATTTAAGGTGTTTTGCAATGATAGGAAACACTTTTTAAACTATGCATTAGAAAATAATTGAAGTACACAGAAGAAACTTAAGTACTATGAGTATAAAAATCATGCAATTTTCTGCAAATGCCTGCATTATTCCACGGGGTCATTTTGCTTCACATAGGGTATGCAGATTTTACGGGTGATGCCAATTTTTCTACAGGCAAAAGGTTCATTTTTCGACTTCGAAAATTGACCCTCGGTCATTATTCCATGGGGGTCACTATTCGTCTTTACACTGGCGACGATAGATGTATGCACATGTACGAGTATATATTTTTTTGAGCCGCGACTGAACTTGCTTTTATTGCCGATAAACTTTATAGTTTCTACGTGGGATAATGACTATAAAACGCTCCAGAAAGTTTCCTGGAGTCTTGCCTACATTGTACAGTTCCATGACATTTTGTGTGGACCCAAATTTAGACAAAATATATTGCATTAGTATTGCATTACAGTACCTTGTATAACACACATATAAAAAGGTCCTTGAGCATGAAATGCCGTTTGGTTCAGAATTCTGTTTTAATTAAAAAAAAAAAAAACAGTATTTTATATTATATACGATAATACATTCGATAGACAACCTTTTAAATTCTGTACCAATTTTAATGATAATAAAGTCGTGGAATCATTCAACTCGCCATACATGTACATCCCAGTCACCAGAACCACATTAATAAACAACATAACATGGATATAAAAATAAGATTTAATTAACTCTGATAAGAGTATATCACAGATTAGCTTCTTATTTCAGATACATATAACAGTCAGGAATGTTCATCTAATTCCTGCGGAAAAAATTTCGAATTCTCTGGAACAGTCCAACTTTCTTGGTACCCTTGGTTTTCACTTCTTTCTGAAAAAAAAAACCAAAACATTTATCAAATATTTCAAAAGTAATATTCGTTACAAACAGGTCATTCTAACACAAATGTTGTATATTGTATGTATTCGGGAACTTGTACTCACTGAGCAGCAACACGCTCCACAGAGAAACAGGCGCATGAGAGGGTGTCTCGTTAAATAATCGTTCTCTATGTCACTAGTACTTTCAGACTTCGGTCCCTGGGTGTGGAACTCAATTATCTGTTACCAAAACAAAAAAAAAATCAATTGAAAATATTACATATCAAAATCATGATACCAATGCTATTTTTGGGAAAGAAATATGTTTTTGTTGTAGTTTTAAAAAATGTTTTAAAATACTTTTTAAAATATATCAAAGGGAAAAATGTCTCATTTAGACAATGAACAAAAATTTTCAGAGATCGCCTAAATTAGCCATTTTTCCTTACCTCCGTTGACAGAAGAGTGATCTCGCTATCAATGACCCTCAGTCCAAGTATATTCCTGTGACAGAAATCAACCGTGTTCATTTCAAAATCAGCAATGTTGAAATATATGAAGTGGAAAATGCCACATCTTTAAGTTTTCGTAAATTTAAAACATTCTTACATTGTTCGATTCTCGGTGCTGCATGTGGGAATATTTCCATCCTTCATGGTGGTTTTCGAATTCCCTATACGACATTTGAGCTCTGTAATAAGACAAATGTAAGTTAATAAACATACATGTATTTCAATTAGTGGAATTTTTTTTACACGTGCCAAAGATTCAAAAACAAAATATTCTAACTTGTGACCCCTGGGGCTTTGTGGTACCACTTTCTGGCCCATTGGTTTGGGTTTCAACTGTGTTTATCGCTGGTGGTCTATCGTCTCCGTCCGATTCACAGGAAAGGTACTGCGCGTGAATCTCGCCTAAAACAGTCCCAGATTTAGCATCAAAAATATGTACCTGTCTCTTCATGTGTTGTATCACAGAACTGTCGATTCGGGGTGCCTCTTCCGTTTTCTCGGGTGATCCATTACTGCTTGCGTTAACTTCAGCCTCTTGAATCTCTTTTTCTCCAAATTGCAAGAAGTGACTATCTCTTTGATTTGGACAGTTGTTTGTTTTTTGGTAAGTGTCGACTGAGCACGTGTAATCGTGGGCTTCATTTGATATCTTAGGCTCATAGAAGTCTTTGCTTTGTTCCTTCAATTGCAATGCAGGTACCTAAAAACACGTTTAGAAACCAGAATACTATGATCATAACGTTTTTGGAAGACTCATATTATCAATATTATTTTTTTCTTTCTAGTGTAAGATATTCATTTGCAATTTTTCTACCTTAGAATTGGCCAATTTTGATGTTGAAGATTCTGCTGCTACATGGGCAATATCTTTGACCTCTGTCTGACCTAGACGCTCCTGAGGCACAGGGACATCTTCATTACTCTGAAATTCGTGAAACAAAACTTAATGATTTCATTATTGAAATAGAAAGAGAGAGATATTACATTTTCAAAACGAATCCAGAAAGAAAACTTTAAAGAAGGACGTGAATTTTTGATGATGAATCTGTGTCATAATTCATAAGTTGCGGAGAATTTAAACAATACTTAAAATCAATTATACAACGTGTTTGTTAATGATGTACGAATGGCTGACGTCACAGTTGCTATTGTGACGTTAAAAATGTATATTTCTTTTTTTTTTTCTTAGGAAAATATATCTGCTTACATAATTATATCTACATAACAGTATGCAATATGTTGAAACAAAAACAGAAGCACATTATATCACTTAAGCATTGCAAAAATTCACTGCTGTGGAACATCGTAAAAAAAATCCCTCCCTCAACAGCAGCAACTAACATTTTACTTTGTTTTAAACCACAGTTGATATAAAAATCTCTTTTAGCGCATATTTCAAGTAAATGTAATTTTGATAACTAATTGCGTAGATTTTTGTTACATGTTTTTCACTGCGTAACACATTCTATTAATCTAATAACAATGAGCTGTTTCTCTAAAAAACTCTTCAGATAGTTTACGTTCATATTTTGTTAATTTATTAGCGGGCTCTACTAATGCCAACACCAGAATATTTTATTAAATAAAATAATCCGAAAGAAAATGCACTATAAGTATAATTACAACTCATGGTTCCTGAACTATGTCTGTACAAAGTTTCTACTTACCTGATTATGAGTATTCATTGTTTTCAACAACACAGTCTTGCTTCTGATTAGGTGTCAACACTATTCCGACATTCGTTGCTAATAATCTGAAGTAAACTGACGTCATAATTGCTATTGTGACGTTGCAACTGCCATTGTGACGAATCCGAAATATGAATTTGATATTGCATAATAATGAGAGAAATATGCAAATTCCATTTTTTAAAAATAAAATATCCTGAATTTTAAGAACCCTCTATACACTGCACAATAAAGAGTTCTGATTCTGTGGTATTTTTATGAAGTTAGAGTAATCTACCCTTAGATCTAAAATGAAATAAATTGAAATCTACAGTTTATCAATCAATTTCTAATCAATTCAAGCATTCTTAACATTTCGATAGGCCATGATAAATTAATTGAACACCTCATCTGCATGCTTTTTCCCAACTTAAGTAAACAACAGTGATTTCTGTTCATCAAAACTTTGTTGCCCTTGAACATTTCTCCTGGGGGTAAAAGCCAGGCACCCAATGTTGAAAACGATATAAATAAGCTCAATATTTACACCTTTATACAATATAATTTTTTCAATGTCCAAAAAACATTTTCGTTTAGTGTAGAGAGGGTCCTTAAGGACAAGAAAATATAATACAAATACACTAAAAAGCAGAAAAGCTAAAAGAAAAAAGAATTAATCCTTAATGTCTTAATTATCCTTCTAATCGTGTTAAATTAATTAGAGATGCATCGTTCAATATTCACGAATTCACCGCTTCCCTTCTTGGATTACAGAGGCTCAGTTGCTATTTTTTTAATAATGAGTGTTTAAAAAAATTCTATTTCGGATAATTTATCAGAAGCAATAGATTTTACAAATGCACTTATGTTCATACAATTTTAAAATGAAAATTATTTAAATACATAACACTCGTCTTGTTGGATTTCGAAGGTTTTAATTTCTAACACACACTATTACTCTTGAAATCTTATAAATAGATTACAATATTATTAACGTATCTGTTTATTTCTATTACAGGTTGCAAAACTGTATTTTTTATCTTTGTATTCTATCTAAACATGTACGATTTTTGGCAGGCGGTATTCATTCAAAACAAAAGTTGAGGGGAGGAGGATCCCTATTTGATCTTGTAAGTTCTTCCAAACCTTAAGTTTACACCTGATAATTTGATTTTACATTTCAAAATTATAAATGGATAAAAATAAACAGAATATGTTCCCTTACGACAAAAATTCTGCTTCGCTTTTCCATAATTTTGGTTCCAGTCCTCATATGCTTGGTTCTGATCATTTCTTATCTGTATAGGGGAAAAAGGTAATATTTATCACCAAGAAGGGGGGAGGGTCCCTGGTATAATGGAGGGGGCAAAGGACATTTAAGTGGAGTTGCAAAGGATGTAAATGAACATTTTAGCGGAAGAAAAATCGAATACCTGTAAGAATTCAGTGGACATTTTAGTCATTTTTATTCATATGTTCTACTCAATCCACTCTTCTATATATGTATTTTTAGCGGTTATTCTTGACCAACAGGCTGGCTCCACAACCAAGGATAAGGCATGAGAAAAAAACTTAGTAGTGGAAGCCTTTTAGAAGTACAGCACTGTAAAACTAGAAGACACCATTATGTCGAGAGTGGGATTAGATACAGAGCCATTACTGAGATGTAAATGAATAGTGTAACTATGTTGTTAAATATGAACTGTATTTTAAGGTTAGCAATGGGCAACATAGTTTGGCTAACGGAAAAGGTATAACATGCATTTTACTTAACTATTAGCTAAAATGTCCACATACTATTTTAATTTCCGTATAATCTTCAGCTAGTACGTCCATTTTCCCGATAAAACGCCTTGTCAATCCGCTAAAATTTCCAACACCGGATTGAGGCATTTGGGGGTGGGGGTCATTTGGATGGGACGAGCATTTTTTACAACCAGGCACACCAGGGTTCCCCTATCCCACTTTTTCAAGCATATCCTTGTTAAAAATGTATGTTGAAAGACTGGCTCCCCCTGATTTTTTTCCCTTTTGAAGTATTTACAATACTGTTAAGTTTAGATTCCTATTTTTCCATGCTGGTTGCACACAGAGCTATTTTGTGCAGTGAAATGTTTTATGCTGGTTCTGAAATATAAATTAAATTAATTTTTTCGAATCCTATCATAATACTGTGACAAATATAGTAAATGTGTTCTGAAAGTCTAGGAAAAAATTGAGCCAATTTTAACTTAAAATTAACACTTTTAGTAATACCTAAAAATTTACATCATAGACTCCCACTCTTGATTTTATTTTCTGAATATAAAGGATAACAGATTTAATGTATCTTTTTTTTTAAGATAAAATTTTAGTATATTTTGTCCCATGATGTATTTGAATAAAAAACATTGGAGAGAAAACTTCGAAGACGTGATTTATGATAAAGACACAATTTCAGTGCAAAAACTTAAAGGTCATATTAAATGTAGCGTAGCGCCAAAAGAAGCATATTGGCACCTTTTTTTTTTTTTTGGAAATTTTTGTTTTGCTTTTTAATTAAACTATAAGTGTAGATACCAAAAATATACTTGACAAAAAATTCTCAAGACTTTAAAAATCGGGATCCAACTTCGTTAAAAAATCCCAATTATTTAGTTCTGAAAAGAGAAAAGAGAAATACCGACTTTCTTCGACATTTCTTCAACTGAATGGACTCTGTACCTTACAAGTGGTAGTCACAAGGTAGTACACAAGAGGTGGATCGAATTTTTCCTCAAATTCATTTTTTTTTTGTTGTTGAAACTTTGATATAATTTTTTGATAATGATAATTTATTATTGACATTATGATCGTTTTATTCTTTTTCCGGTGTGTTTCAAAAGAGATGAGCTAAAATTCCATACAAAATAAGGATGGGACACATACTGTTTTCTTTATGTAAGGTATGGGACCAAGACTTTTTAGATAATTTTTTGCCCTGGTTATAAATATTGCCTGACAGAATTGAGTGTTTCCAACAGGCAAAATTATCAGATCGATATTTTTCATTTGCGACTAATTCATGGACCAATAGACATTAATTATTTTGAATATTTTAAAAAGATCTTTAAAACACTGTAGTCTACTGTAAAATAATTCGGTCTTTAAGATAAAGAAAGAGGGACAACTCTAAAAACTCTAAAAGTTTTGGGGAATTGCTACTGCGTGTTCTCTCCCTTAGTTGTGTTATTCCATGCACCTGTTTGTTAAACCCACAGGTTTTTTTTTTATATAAAAAATTCAAAGAACCCTTGGAGTATGGAACACGGAGGAGTGGGGGGGGGGGGTCCCGTCCCCAAGCATCTGTGATCTTTTCAATAGTTGCTTCAACTGTTCAAGGGCTTTCATATTTCTATTTCACATGTATATTCCTTGTTGTAAGACCTTACTTTGGGTATCAACATATTTGATTTGCATTTGAGAAAGTTTAACCTTCGCTGTAAGTTGCCAAACGGGGGGCATCAGTGTTTCACAAACACATCTTGTTTTTCCTGTTAAAATTAACAGGTTAAGGTCCGATTAGGAATTTAAACTCAGTGACCTTGCCCAAACAACCTTTGGGTCAGTGACACACTTTCTAATAATAACAGAAAAGAATGCCACACTTCCTAATCCAAACGATCTTTGAACATCCAGGCAAACAAACAAAAAATATTTCTGAAATGATATAACAATAGATCGGGATCGAGATGCAAGATTTCTTGCGCTTGCGTAGTAAGCATCAATGAAATTTAGGAGAAAAATGGGGTGAAGAGTCAACATCTAATACTTTATAAACTGTATAGTTTTGAAACTATTATGGTCAATGCTTCGTTTTAGAAGCTTCATGTTACTGTAAATGGTGAGTATGTAAGCAATAAAAATGTCATGACATTGCTGTATGGCGATATTTTACAAAAAACAAGGACTGGTCTAATCCAGTTCAGGGGTCTTAAACAGAACAGTTGAATAGTGTAAATAAAGGCGATCAGGAGGGATCTGGATCCCTTACAGGTGAATTCAAATGAAACAACCGTAAAAATGCATTGAAAATTCGAAAACGTAAGTAGGGCATGCATGTAAATATTCAATTTGTACTGCTAATATGTTTGTTTAAATGATAGGGAGACTTGCAGCTATTGCCATACTACTGTAGCCAGGTCTGGAACAATCACTAGATTTAGCTACGTAGCTTGAATTACCTACATAGCTTTATTTACCTACCTGAAGTAGCTTTATTTAGCTACTAAATCAAACTTATTTCTCAAATTAGTATTTTTCCCAGAAAGTGCAGAAAATTGCACTTTGATGCAATGATAATTTTCAACTTTAAACTCATCTGAAAACAATTCATGAAAAAATCACTCTTGGAGATGTGCCTTTTTCTGTGCAATTGCAATCAAAGTTCTAAAAGATTTGGGGCTATATACAACAGTTAATTTGTGACCTAACAGTTACTTCTTGAGTGAACTAACAAAGAAAACCAGTTTTGATTAACGTGAGCACAATGTGAAGTAATCATACTTATCCACGCCTCATGGCACACAAGATGGTGTACAGTTACTCAAACAATGGAAATACATATTTTCCTTTTAAGTGTTCAAACGCAGCAATGTTAAAACTACCTTTGCTTTAGATTGCTTTTTAAATAATTCCTAGAATAAATATTAGTAGACATTTTTAGCGACTTTTTGTCTTTTTAAAATAAAAAGCAAAATTGTGAAAAGCTACCTTGAAATAGCTAAATAAAGCTACCTGAGGTAGGTTTGGATACCGTTAAGGATGAAACGGTACGATATCATACCAGTACTTTTAAAACAATATGATACGGTACTATACCTTGATGGATGAGAATTAGGGCTCATTTTATAACAAATGTGCTTTCACCAATCTTCAACCATTCAATGTTATAATCCAAAATGAGCCTATAAACTATATTATATTTCAATCTTTTAATAAATCATCAACAAAACAAATAAATTTAATCTCAAACAAATTAATTTAACTAGATACAGCTGACCGCTTCACCCGGTTGCCACTTGCCAGGACCCATTTTGTTTGGTCGCACTAAAGTTGAGTAAACGATGAAACATTAAAAATGGATCACATTTTTGCGACATTTTGCATTTTTTATTTACGATTATTATCAGTTTTTATAAATAAAATTAAAAAAACATTTAATTTGAATGTTTTTGTTTTTAAATATACGTATTGATTTACCTCGAATATCGGCAGTCAAAAGCAAGTATCGTAGTAAGCATCCATTTCGTTAATTAGCCTACCCTTTCAATGCGCGGAGAGTTTTATTTTAGCGAGTCTGGAATCTCTTTTTTAAAAATCATTTTGAATGTATTCAAATGTTTCAAAGATTGAGAAATACCGTTATTAGTACCGGTATTAAATGAAACGATATTTTACCGTTATTTTATTATATAGTTATTGAAGTAACTATTCGGTACGGTATTGGTACTGAGTACCGGTATCCAACCTTAACATGAGGTAGGTAAATAAAGCTACGGTAGGTAATTATAGCTATGTAGGTAAATGTATGATTGTACTGGACCTGGTAGCAACATTTTCAAATGAAGCTATTTTACAGTTATCATTTTTATACTGCATAGACTCTTACATGTACAAAGACATCACAGTGTAGCTGTTGATGGGTGAATAGTTCTAAAAAACAATGTCGTATAACCAAGATAAATTGTGATGAGAAGTTGCTACAAATCGTATATATAGGGAAGCGGTGAATTTCTGCAATGACATGATTTTGGAGAATAGAAAGAAGTTGCACAGAAAAAAACCACCAAGTTGATCATAAACTTTTTAAGCCTGTGAAAGCTCCTACCCCCCAAAAATAATCCATATAATGAAAAACTTGATGCATTTTCTCAAATTTTTTTTGTCTTGTTTTAAATTTACATGGCATGTTGACATTTTCTGACTCTGAGTTGAGTGTAGCATATCCTTGATTAGAGTTATCTGCCCTGTTTAATTTGTGACATTGCCAGCATAAGGAACATTCTATCATTAATTAAACTGGGTTCATAGGTAGTTTATCATAGGACATCATTATAAAATGAAAGAAAGTTTTATCTAGTAGATATGCAGATGAGATTTTCATGATTGGACAATCCTTAAAACTACAGCATGTCTTTTTGAAAAAGTCAGACACATAGATATGAAAAGTCATCATATCCATTTAATTATTGTCATGTAGTAAAGACAACATTGTAGAAAAAGATTTTAAATGTTATTTTAGAGAATTGTTTGTTTCCAGTTATAGTTGCACGTAAATATCTTGTACAAACCACCCAGTAATATGCCTTGACATCATAACTTTTATTATGTGGTAAATAAACTACTGTGAAATAAAAGATGGAAATACTTCATTCATATCTGGTAATGTTCAAGCCACTTCAAAGCTATTTTTTATCAACTTCAAAATTTGCAAATCATTTACTTGTTTTCATTCATAACTGTTAGTTTATTTGTTTTGTCAGTGAGAGGTTATGTCTGTATTTTAAAAGACAAAGAGGGGTGTAAGTATGTGTTTATCTAGGCTAATTGATTGGGACATCTCTGACTGAAGAAAAATTATTGTGCTTAAATTTTCAATACATTATCTCCACAAAGATTTTAAGTAAAAATTGCCGTGATGTAAAAAAAGACAAGATTACTGCTTGGTCAATTTTTGGACTGCGTATAATACAACTGAACTGTGTTTTTTCCCAAATTTTCAAGAATTAAAAGGGGTGTGTGTATTTTACACCGATGTGAATTATATTCAGCCAAGTACGGTACTTAATAAAAATTACAGTGAAAAAGGTTGACTGAGTCTAAAATTTTCAGAATAATAAAGTCAATTTAAATAAACCATCAAAAACGCAAAAAAAGAATGTTTTTTTTATTCACTTTTTTTTTTAATTTTGTTATTTTTCAATTTGGCTCATCATTATGGCTTAATTTTTAAAAGACAGATAAATATCCCATTCATGACTTAAATTTGATATTTACTTTGAAATTTCTTTATTTTAATTTGACTTACCACATATCACTGCATGATGTTAATTTATAAACAAAGTGTTCTTCTTAGTAAGTTACTAATACATGTAGTAACACATGAAAATGCCATAGAAGACTGAATTTCAACATTTCATTTTGGAATATTTTTATGCAGTCTGCTTATGCATATATAATGGTTTGGAATATTCAAATCCTGAAAGAACCCTGTCCAATTGCTCACGCTACATTTGCAGAAAATTTGTTACTCTGTACATTCAGGTATTCAAAAATGGAACAAGCTTCAAATTAATTTTGAAATGTTCACATCTATCATTGCACAAATAACTACATAAAAAAATATGTAGGACATAATGAACAGTGATGCATCTACCATGCATGTTGAAGTGTTCACTCTTTCTCAAGATCTAAATTTCTTGAAAATAATGACCATAGCCAGAATCAAAGGATTGTGTACAAAATCATTGTGTTCTAATCAACAAAACACAATGTCATTGTCTCTGAAAATGTCACTGCAGACCACACATATATATCTTTTTCCTGGTCTATTTTCTACCTGGTCATTCAACCGTTTATCAGTTGCTAGAAACATACCACAGTATTGCTAAATGCATTGATGAGGGAAAATCATGTATGATATTTTGTGATTTTTCAAAGGCTTTTGATAGAGTATGGCACAAGGGTCTTCCTTTTAAACTACAAACTTGTGGAATTTCTGGTAATCTTTTTGAATGGTTTCAAAGTTACCTGAACAATCGAACTCAAAAAGTTATATACAAAGATACTTTGTCTTCAAGCAATTAAGGTTATAAATGGCGGGGTACCCCAAGGCTCAGTCCTTGATCCCTTGTTATTTATAATATATGTAAATGATGTTTCAGAAAAAATGTTATCACTCTATAGATTATTTGCAGGTAACAATTCTATACAAAATTTTGTACAATTCGAAGTCATTTTTTAAGGGCAGTCTTCTTTTTTCTTACACTAACAAATGAAAATTAAATTAAAGGAATGAAATTAATAGCTACCAAATTTATACTGTATAAAGTGAGTTGGAACAGTTCATGCTTTTTTATAAACCACTTTGCAGTTTATATTTAGCGTAAACTGCCCAAACCCACTTTATACCGTACAAATTGGGCAGCTATTAAATTCATTTCTTAAATGAATCAACTCAGAAAATAATTTAGCTGTTTTTTTATAATAATTTAAAAAAAAAAAAAAAAAAAAAAAAAAAAGCACAGTCCTGAAAGGTATTTTTCTTGAAGCTGATAAAGTTTTGGCTTTTTGCTTATGTAACAACCATCAGAGTAGCCAGAAAAGACAAAAGTGAAAATAGCTCAGTCATGGGTGATCTGATTATCATCCTTATTTTTATCCCCATGCTTTTGGATACTGATTGGAAAAAAACATTAATGCAGTTTGGATTTGTGATGTCCAAAAGTTAGTGGTCACTATGTGTATTAAAAAAAAGTGTAATTAATACTATGGAATCATTAGATTTCATGGTGGCTCTATTTTCGTTGAATTCCTGGGTACCTCTCATTCACGAATTAACAAGTTCATTACCCTTAAACTTTGATTGTTTTAGCTCACCTGAGCCACAGCTTTTCTGATCAGAGTTTGTCAATATATGTAGATGAATGCATACAAGTATGTCTTTATTGTCAGTGAAAGCTTTTTACATTCTCATCAGTCTTCTCTAAAACCTCTGGGTTAATTAGAACAAACTGTCCACAAAACATCTTTGGATGAAGGGAATTAAAAATTGAAAGATTATAAACATGAAAAAAAAATTATCATCTGAATGTTACTTTGAATGTATTCCTTGGAGTTATTTCCATTATCCCTTTCCTGCTGTTCTTCACAGAAGAAATCTGATTGGGGATAAATTCAAAAATGGCTGTGCAAAAGTGTTTTTGGCTCTACTAGTAAGAGACTAGAATAGCTTATGCGATCGTCTGACTGTAAACAATTTTTCAAATCGCTACTCCTCCTACAGTTTTTGTATGATTTCAAGAGAACTTGGCATACAAGTAGACTACACTAAGATGCATAATTAAGTGCATCAATTTTAGATTTTGATGAATGGTTTTGCCGTGGATACTAAAAATAGAAATTTCTGTGAAATTCCTTTAAAATGCTACTCCTACAGTTTTGGTCTGATTTCCATATAACTTGGACAAAAGATTTCAAACTCAGATAAATAATTCTGTATATCAATATATGATTTGGGAATAATACTGTTGACATGGTTACTAAAAATAGAAATATCTGTGAAATACTTCCAAAATGCTACTCCTCCTATAGTTTTGATCTGTTTTCTCTATAACTTTGCACACAAGTAGACTGCACTGAGATACATAATTATGCCCCGCCATGAATATGGCCAGGGCATATAGTGTCTTCCGTCCTTCCGTCACACTTTGCGTTTAGCTCTGTTCAAAGCTCAGTTTCAAAGAAATTATCCAAGATATTTTTATCAAACTTCATATGCTGATAGATATTGATGAGAGCTATGCAACTGCATCAACATTTTTTGACCTTGACCTTTCCTTTGACCTTGACCTCACTTTTCTTAAATTAGTGTTTAGCTCAGTTTTAAAGATACCATTCAAGATAGTGTAATCAAACTTCATATGTTGATACATACTGATGTAAGCTATTCAACTGCATCAACATTTTTTGACCTTGTCCTTTCATTTGACTTTGACCTCACTTTTCTTAAATTAGTGTTTAGCTCAGTTTTAAAGATACCATTCAAGATAGTGTAATCAAACTTCATTTGTTGATACATACTAATGTAAGCTATTCAACTACATCAACATTTTTTTACCTTGACCTTTCTTTTGACCTTGACCTCACTTTTCTTAAATTAGTGTTTAGCTCAGTTTAAAGATACCATTCAAGATAGTGTTATCAAACTTCATATGCTGATATACTGATGAGAGCTATTCAACTGCATCAACATTTTTTGACCCTGACCTTTCCTTTGACCTTGACCTCACTTTTCTTAAATTAGTGTCAAACTTCATATGCTGATACATACTGATGAGAGCTACTCCACTGCATCACTATTTTTTGACCTTGACCTCACTTTTCTTAAATTAGTGTTTAGCTCAGTTTTTAAGAAACCATTCATAATATTTTTATCAAACTTCATATGCTAATACATACTGATGTAACCTTTTCAACTGCATCAGCAATTTTTGACCTTGACCTTTCCTTTGACCTTGACCTCACTCTTTTTAAATTAGTGTCAAACTTCATATGCTGATTCATACTGATGTAAGCTATTCAACTGCATCAATATTTTTTCACCTTGACCTTTCCTTTGACCTTGACCTCACTTTTCTCAATTTGTGTTAAAATGTTGCATTACTAATGTACCCTCGGCGGGGCATTCATGTCCTATGAACATATTTCTAGTTTTATTTCAGTTTTTGATTTTGATGAATGGTTTTGCCATCATTACTAAAAATAGAAAATTTGGTGAAATTCTTTCAAAAGGCTACTCCACCAACAGTTTTAATCTGATTGCAATAAATCTTGCCACAAAGAGACTAAACCAAGGACCATTATTCTTTTTATTGCTGTTGCATTACTTACATAGTTTTAAGTGCAAGTGCTATTTTTCTCTTCCTTTGTTATAAATATAAACCGGTAGAGCTTTCATCTGAGACTTCTGGTTTATTAATGCAAAAAATGTGAAACCTTGGAGAAAGCTATAATTTGAAATTCATATTATTGATATCATATACAGTTGAACTTCCGTATATCAAACACTGATATCTTGAATACCCTGGATATCTTGAAGTTTTTTCTTGGTCCCATTGAGTTTGAGATAATGAGGTTTGACTATATTTTAGATGAAGCCTGTATTAAGGTGTTTTATATATCTACTTTATTGCTTGTCAGAGAGAGAAATGAGATACAGATGAACTATGTGCACCATGGTCAAAAAAAGTCTTGTTTTGACTTTCCAGTGTTTTGTAAGAAAAACATGTTGACTATATTATTGTAGCTAGGTATTTAATTGAATGTTATTTTATGATGTCATGGCTATAACTTGATAATTGTGTATTTCCTGTTTTTAATTAGCATGTCTTTTGTACCTGTTATCTCTACCAATTTTAATTGAAATTTATTTTACACAGACTAATTTTCAAGTCAGGCTTTTCTACTTACTGATAATTTTCTAAATTCCATTTTTATAATTAGAAACAAGATGTGAATAAGCGTGTTTATACAAGGATACTTGCCACAAACAAAAATATGGATGCATGGATTAGTATATATTTTTTGATTTATTTTGGTTGAAAAGGATGCAATTATGATTATTCAGAAATTGTAAATTTTCTATGATATGTTTAAAATTCTCTGTTTTTGCCATTCCTCATTAAAACTCTATGCAATCTTTTCACACTTTTTTCAGGACACTACTAAGAAAATCTTGAATATAAATGGTAAAACTGATTTATTTGATTTATGTAAACATAGATCTTGTTATCTATTTTTATCATTTTTGACAAATGTTTGTTTGTAGCAGTAGCCTTAACAAAAATTCCTATTTTCTACTGATTCTGAAATGTATTTAGTATTAAGGACCATCTTCTGTATACATGAATCATGCTATGGAAAAAGAATAGTAGAGTATTTTGAATATTGAGAAAATTGTTTGAAAATAACAATCTATAAAGGTATAAATATCGGGTTCATTTGTTTCATTTTCAATGTAAGATAAAGGCCATTTACACCAATGTTCTATGAGGCATTGATAAACAAAAATTAGTGTTCTTTACTTAAGTGGGAGGAAAAAAAATGTAAATAAAGTGTTTAATTAATTACCTAATTGTGGCCTTACAAAATGTTAAGAATGCTTGATTACAAATTTAGTAATTTGAAATTGATTTAAAGTTATTTTAGATCTAAGAGCAGATCACTTGTGTTGTGTAAAAATACCACACACAGGAATAGAACTCTCTGTTCTTTACCCTCAATATCTCAATTCCTCGGATATCTCGAAATTTTTTCTCGGTTCCATCAAGTTGGAGATAACGAGGTTCGACTATATTGCAAAAAAAAAAATCAGTAAAAGTCTTTTTAATGTTTATAATTTTGTATTTTTTGTTTTAGCTGATGTTAAGTGCTTGCTTTTGAAGAATATTGGGAATAATCAAGATGATTTGCTTGAAGGTATTGTTTATGACTAGAAACTATATATAATTTAAAAGAATTTTTCTTTTGATTTCATGATTGATAAAAGAACTAATTCATTTACCCACTTTGGTACTGGTCACCAAACACAAGCATAAGTGAGATTGCTGTATATGACAGATTCTTCATTTTTGGTGCACTGTGGATCCCACTTCATGTCGGTAACTCAGAGTGAGAGGGAGAAGATGCCAGCCCAAGCCCCTCAGTGGACAGAGTTCCTATCTTGCCAGGTGTAGTATCAACCCAAAATCTGTTTTTCTGAAAATTTGAGAAGACCTCAATGTACAACAGCCATGTACCTACACAAAACTATTTTTCATTCTCATTGGTTCATGTATCATCCAATTTAATATTTGGATTCCTATTGATAATGTAATTATTTTCCTTACATTTGTGTTTTAGGTGTGTTACAATGTTTTCAATGAGACTGACCGTAGGCCAGTCAGTCTGGCATGTGGGCACACTGTCTGTAGAACATGTCTGCTCAATCTCCCCCAGAAAAAATGTCCATTTGATCAGTGTGCCATCACGAGGGACGTGAGTGAGCTGCCTGTTAACTATGCCCTGCTCCAGTTAGTGGGAGCTGCAATACCAGCTGAGAGTGAACAGCCAGTTCCAATCCCTATTCCAGAGAAAACAAAACATTATGAGTCAGCAAAGCACTGTATAGAAGAAATAGCTCTCTATCTTAAACCAGTATCTGAAGGTAGATCTTTAAGTCGTTGATGTAAAGTTGTAAACTCATGCATCATTAATTTGTGAAAAATCTCTCTGAAATTGTGAAGGGTTTCTATTTTTGAAGAATTTTTTCGCTATACAGGTTGTTCAACAGCTGCAGCAATAAGTTCCGGAAGTAACAGTATATTAAGCCGCCCGATGCAGAGAAAGGTTGTATCTCTTGTGAGTTGTCAGCTAGTGGAGGAGGAGGGTAGAGCTCGTGCTGCTCGGGCAGCTCGCTCGCTTGGTGAGCGAACTGTTACAGAACTCATTCTTCAGCATCAAAATGCCCAACAATTATCTTCAAACTTATGGGCCGCTGTGCGTGCTCGTGGATGTCAGTTCCTGGGTCCTGGTATGTATCTTAAGATACAAAAGATAAAATTGTTACTAATGTTGTTTTCTTGGACACTCACAGGCAAGCCATGAGATTAATGTATCTGTCTTATAATATTTAGTCATAGGACCAACTCTTTCTTGTACTGCAAATATCATAATGATTGTAGATTATATTTTTTCAACAACAACAACAAAGCAGAAAGTTTTAAGTAAATAATATAATATGAAACTTTAAAAAAAATGGCATTAACTTGTTTTCATATCAAGGAATATTGATATCTCTATCTTTCCTTCAGGCAACAGCATTTGATAAAAATATTGTAATGGGTGTTATGTTCATAGAATATAGACAATTGAACATTTTCAGCTATGCAGGAGGAGGTTCTTAAGCTAATTTTGTTGGCCCTGGAGGATGGTTCCTTATTGTCAAGAAAAGTTCTGGTTTTGTTTGTTGTCCAGCGTCTAGAGTCACAGTATCCTCAAGCCTCCAAGACAGCCATAGGACATGTAGTTCAGCTATTGTACAGAGCTTCTTGTTTTAAGGTGGGTCAGATAAACCAACACATCAGGATTTATTGTACCCATTTTTCAGTAAAGTGTAAAGGAATTTGTGTGTGATTTAATCACAGCTTCAATTTTTAGTCCTATACAGACCTCAAAAGAGAAACTTTCTCTTACAAGAAAGAATAAAATTTCAAAATCTAGAAAAATCATCAACTTAGTAAATTATGTACCTTTTCTGTAAAACGTTTCCAACCCCTCCAATTTTGAATAAAATCTGCTTAATGGATAGGATGGAAAATAGGTTTTAAGGCACTGTTTGTGATACTTGTGATTCACAATACAGTTGGAAATCACAACCTCATTTAATTTATAAGGTCACAAAGCGAGATGAGGAGTCCTCTTTGATGCAACTGAAGGAGGAGTTCCGTTCATATGAGGCCCTGAGACGAGAGCATGACTCACAGATCATACAAATAGCCATGGAGTCTGGTCTGAGGATCGCACCAGATCAGTGGTCATCATTACTGTACGGAGACACAAACCACAAATCACACATGCAGTCTATCATTGACAAGGTAGGACAGGGAAGCACTAGAGAAGGCCACAGTGTATATTCGATGCAATTATTTCTTGCATTGCATTTATTATCAACACTTGTGAAGCTTGTTTGACTTTACCAGGGAGTTAAAAAAATATCTCTTTGAAAGCATTTTCTCTAAAACTGAAGGTTCTTTTCAGTCAGTTTAGATGAAAGCTTACCCATGCCATGTAGATTAAAATTTGATTAAATCATGGCACAGGGGGTGAAGGTGGGGCAACAAGTTAAGGACAAATCATATGCATAAATATGAACCTATTAAGAATAGCAAGACTACAGTTTGGAAAATTGACAGTCAGATTTCAACATGTAGTTAAAATCTGATCTTTATTTAGAGTGTTTTTACAGCTTCAGACTCCCCAGTCCTTCACTCAGAGCACCAATGAACTAGTGGTGGCCCTTCAGCGGAGTGGTGACCCCTTTAACCTACAGAGACTCCGCCCACATTTAGAGTTCCTAGCCAGCATTGATCCTAGTCCAGGTATGTCTGACAAACATTCTACAGTAAAAGTTGGTTATAGCCAAGTTCTGGAGACCTGCGAATTTACTTTGCTATATTTGTAATTCGTTATATCCATATAACGAATTCATTAAAGTATTCATGGAAAATTCACAATAAAGATTTTTTCCCACAAATATGACTACCAAATGTATTTTAGGGAAGTATAGAATACAAAATTTACCTCGGGGTTCAAAAGTTTTCGGACAAATTGAGTTTCAAATATACATGCTTACAAAATTAATATCAGTTCAATATTTTAAAATTGAGATCTTTGAAAATCCAGGTTATGAGATACTCATTCACATCCTTAATCATCCAATACTTTGTTACATGGATACAAGAAGTTTGAATACAAGAAATGAAAGCATGAAGTCCTCAAAGACTTCCTTTAATACAACCTATTTTTTCTGTTTCATTTAGTATTGATCAATCATTTTTTTCTTTTGCATTGCTTTCTGTTGTAAAAATTGTGAGATATGCATACAAATGAGCCACCATATTATCCATTTTGTATTTAAACTATAGGTTATCAAAGATATACTAGTAACACAATGAAAAAAAGAAGTATTTAGTGCTAATTTACATTTTATTTTACTGTTTGATTTTTCAGGCAGTTTATCAGTGTGTTATCACATTGCATTGCTCTGACACATGTAATATTGTTGATAAAGTGCTATGTTATAAAAACAATCAAGGATTTAAAATACTACAGAGATGAAAAGTTAGATATATTAACTGTAAGGCTAAAAGTATATTATTCTTGAAAACAGAGGCTCCAACTCCATCTTGGGAGAATTTAGAAGCAGTGATGAAAGCTGTAAAGACAGTGGTAAAGGGTCTGGTGGACTTCATACAAAGTAATGGATCCAAGAAAGTGGATAACACAGCATATGTTAATGTCCGTTACAAGACCAGTATGTGCCGAGATTTGTCTGAAAAAGGTCGCTGTCCAAGGGGAACTAACTGTACCTTTGCTCACTCCCAGGAGGAACTAGAAAAGTAAAGAATTGATTAATGTTAAAGGAGAATTACCCTCTGCTTACTTACATGAAATGGTTGCTGTCATGATGACAGTTGAATACTCAATAATAGTGTACAATAAAATTTTAGAATTCAAAACAAATTATCAGTGAAAGTTTTATAGAAAGGAAACACTGATTTATCAGTAGAGTTATCTCTCTTATGATTACTGAGGTTGATTCGTCCATAAAACTATTTTACTGTTACTGATAAGTACATGTAGTAATTTTATTTTCCGATCTTAATATACATGGAGAAAATAGATCAAGATGACGTGTCATTCAATTTAAATGAAATGTACTACTGTGAGAGATCAGAAAAACCGTTCATCTAAATTATAAGAAAGTATAAGAATATCAGCATAGATTTTCTACATATCTTTGGATGAGTGCGTGAATTTTGGAATCTGTGGCCCAAATTTGACGCTAGTTTCAATGTTTCTTGTGTATCAATAGTATATGTAACACATACTCAGAAAATATTTTTACTCTTGTCAAAGTTTATATTGTCCTAATCCAATAAAATTAGGTTCAGAGCAAGAAACAAAAGATCTGGTAGAAATGCCTGCCCTGCAAATGACACTTCGACCTTGACCCTAAAGCAGAAAGTCCAGCTGGACCATATCACAAGAACATCTCTGGAGAAACAAAGACAGTTGAGCAGCAGTTCTGATTCAGCCATAAAAGACCAAGGGTAAGTGATGTCATCAGGTTGCACACAGTTTGTGAACAAATTAAGATTAATACATTAAAACATTAATGGGCAGACATTTCTAGAATACAGGTAACTTGATGACTCAAACTTTGATCTCTCAAAGTTTTTGATCACTCAAAGTGAGTCTCCGGTTCTGATTTTTTTAATATACATGTATAACTAAGCAAATTCACTCCTAATCTCTCTAACTCTCAATCTTTTGAAACTGTTGATCCCTTAAAGTCACAATGCAGTCCCGCTATGCATAATCTGTTGTAATTTACCTCAAAGTGGCTATGTGTGTGCAAACATCTCCTAGTTAGCACCTTTACCTAGACATTTAAATGGCTCCCGGCGTTAGATGCTTGACCCAATGAATGGGATGTTTTTTAGGTGACATTTGTACAATGCAATGTGATAGTTGATTGATAATTGATCATATTCTGTGTTACATGTCTGCTCTTATAAAAATTGTAACATTGACTGTCTTACCATGATTTGGAGACAAGACACTAATTTGGAGTCAGAATGTCAAAGTTAAATGAATAATAAGAATACAAAAACTATGCATAACAGCATCAATGTCAATAGGACGACAATTACTGAACAAATACTGAACTGTGTTCAATGTTTGATATTACTGGTAACAGATGTTGGATGTTTGATATTAACAGATACTAGGGCTGCACAATGATATCGATATTCAGGTTTATTGCGATTTGTTAACAAAAAATATCGTATTGCAATACATTTTTCCAGTACCGATATATCGGTAAAATGCTTCGGCTTGGGATTTCTAAAGTTAAATATGAAATTTAAGATGCCAGAAAAGCTTTCAATCATGCCAAACAATAGAGTTGCTGTTGTATGGTTGTATTTCATTGCAGAACTGAAGTGAAATCGACAAGAACTTTTTTTTGCTACAACGAATTTAAATACACATGTAGTTTTATTCACTGTGATTATAAATGGAGGTTAATAAATTAAGAAAAGAGCATTTTTACTGTTATTAAAAATATTGTAATGTGTACATGTCACAGTTACAGTTTAAAATATCATAATATATCGCAATGCAAAATTCCCAACCAATACCCAGCCCTAACAGATACAAATAGTCTATGCTACAATGCTATAAAATCTTGTTTTCACATATATCTGCACAATATGATGTTTGTCTTACATAGATTAAATAAATATAATGACAGTATACATTTCTGCTTATATCAGTTAAAAAAAAATTACCTGAAAAAACACAAAGGAGTATCGCTGTTAAAGCACATGTGTAAGATTAGCAGAAATAAATGAGAATCATAACATCTGGTTAGACTAATCTTAAAACCTGTCAACCAACCCAGAAAATTCTGGACTCTTGAAAACTCAAACTTGAGATCTCTATTTTAAACTTTTCCTCACTCCCACAGATTTCAAGGTATCAAGAGTTACCTGTAGAGTGTGTTGATCGAGACAATATAGCACTGACAAATTATGTACAGTGTATGTGTTCCTTTAGTGCACCTGAATGCTAGTTGTACTTGTAAATTACATATTGTGTTTGTAAATGTAGTTCTGTTCCTGCTGTTGCTGGACCCCAGGACCTGACCCAGGGAATAAATTCTCTGTCTCTAATTGACCCAGTGAAGACAGGAGATACCACTGCCATATCAGCCTTACATGCCCACCAACCACAGATCAACTTCCAGAATCTGCCCCCTCAACCTCCTGTTCAACCCAGTGTAAGCTCAATGGTACCACCTCAGTTTCCAATGTACCCCAATCACCAGTACCACCCTAGCATGTTACAGTCAGGGATCTACCCCAGTGCCCCACAGGTACCTGTGGGTAATGGAGGAGTCATGATGAATATGCAGGGAGTGGGGTACTCGGATATGTACCAAATGGAAGGTAGGTTTGAACAAAAAATCCATTGGCATTTGTGCAGAATCTTCAATACTGAAGAGTTTGTGAAAATTAATTTTATTTTTCCTGTTATGAATATAGTAAAAGTTTTTTTTTGTACTGAATTCATTGATTAAATTATTTGTTTGCTTACAACACAGAGGCAGAATTTTCTTTGTTTCAGTAAACAGAGGTTGTGTACAGCATCCATCAATCCCTTCACCATATCCCATGATGCAACAGCCACAGTACCCCGGTGTCCAGTATCAGCAGTTTGTACCTGGGTATTTCCCACCTGGATACATGCCTTACACTCAGAATCCAGGTGGGATCCCACCTTACATGGATTCTCACAGTGGAGTGCAGGGTCCTTCCAATGTAGATGTATACTCTAGTGACCAGACAGTGACTTCAAATTCTTCATCCTCTGCCCAAGATATGGGTGCAAGATCAGCAGGAGATGTGGGCTCTAAAAATCAGGTAAGAAAAAAAAATGGTTAATTTAAGGTCTGTTGAAAAGGTTACTGTAAAATCACTTATTTTCTGGGGCATCAGGTTTCATGGTTGGAGGATTTTTAGAATATTTGTTCTTTGGGATTTTATTTCATGCTTGAAGTAGTGTAGAGTTGTAATATACAAGTATTTGAAATTTTAACATTTTGTTGAGAATATGAATTTGTGGATGTCTTCATGCCACATAAAACTAAGCAATTCAAACCCTCACAAAAATAAGTGATTTCACAGTTTGTGGAAGGTAAGTTTTGTATTCCAAAAGATATTATAGGATTGATGGTTAGAAAGTGATTACATATACAAAATGAGTTTAACAACCATGTTAAATATGGTCACTGAGACTTATGTACATTGCAATGTAATAACTTTTTTTTTATATTGCTGTAATATATTTTTTATTTGTCCTTACACTGAATGTGTTTTTCCTACCCCTCCTGTCTCTATTTTTATTCTGTTCAAAGTACACTGGTGTTTAAAATTGTACCAGTCATATAGGCCAGTCAAAATGTACTTTATAAATCACTTATAAGGTTATTATAGAAAAAACATAATTTTTTTAGGGTTTTGGTTTTTTTGGAAGTACAGTATAAAATTAAGAAAACAACAGTTGCCTTTCGGCTGATTTATATGACTGAACTTGAAAACTTGATTCCCCTTGTAAATCCATTCACACTGCTAATGAGTTAAATTTTAGTAGAACATATATATCATTCTCTTATACCAGTCCATTAATTTCATCATTGTTTACTTATTCAACAGATTTTAGATGTTTGACACATGGGCATCTGAAGTATTTTTCTATTTGGCTACAAGAGGGTCAACATGTATATGCCCATTTGTTGAATAAAAAAATCGTTTGAAAATTTTAAGAAATACAATGTGGTCATCTATAATAAAGAGAATGATTTTTGTTCGTGAAAATTTATCTCGGCAGGAAATCAGAAACCAAAATGGGAACTGGCAAAGGAGGTTGGTAGAAACCTGTGAGGACTGGTGCACTGGTCACCATAAGCTTTGTGGGTTGTTTACTGATTTATTCTGCAGGTTACAAGTTAATACCTGTCAGAGTTTTGTTAATTATTGTCTCACTGACTATAAGCATTATCAACAGATAAAAAGAAAGAAGTATGGTAAATATATTGTAGATCACCAGTTTTTCACATTAATAGTTATTTGGCACGTATTAATAAGCATGACAAAATTTTCATGAATTTTAGTTATTGTATTTAATAGATCTTGATATACACGAGAGTGAAATTTTTGTAAGCAGAGGGTCTCTGACATATGATCATGCAAAAATAAAGTTCATGTAAATAAAAAGTGATTTACATTAAGTTGGTAAAATTGAATCATGGGACATTTAAAACCAAGACATCCAAAAAGAGAAGCAAGATTGTTTGGATTAATAAAGACTTCTGAAACCTGATTTACTGTAAAAACAAAAGAAAATGATGGAAAGGAAAGAAATGCCGACCAGTTCATGCTGCTTAATATGTTCCCCACATGTAGTTTTCCTCTTATGCTTTTACTTTAATCAAAATTAATGTTTAATAGAGAACTTTTGTCATTTGGCCATCACAAAGCTTATTTTGACTTAGTTCATTGGTTCATAGCTAATACACATCAGATTTACAACGGAATCCTGGGATAGGTCCAGCCACCAGCTTGATTCTAGTCTGTCAGAACCAGAGTAAATCGGATTGGTAGTGGCTATCACTTGTCCATTTACTGGACCGTTGTAACGGGTTAGCATTATATTCCATGATATTGTTTTGCAGGCTGTGCCAGCAGGCTTCATGGGCAACGATTAGCTGAATGGCCATTTCAGTTTTATAAATTTTTAGTTTTTGTCAGTGGATGAGTGAATTAAGTGTGACTTTATACATGAATCATGCTCTTGAAATAAGCAATTTAACTTTTTATCTACATGTATGTATTGGAGATCATGACAAGGCACCAGATTTTTTTGTGAGTGTGCATTGTAATTAATGAAGAAAAAGAGGAAAAAAGCTTAAACAAGAAGAAATATATGTACATCTGTATATGCCAGTATATCTGTGATCTTATTTGCTGATGATATGCCCTAGTTTGGAATGAATGATTAAGTGTTGTACAGTCACTGTGAGTTGGAAGTTGTCAAGCCTTGCATACACTTGGTATATCTTATCAGTGGATTTGTAATGTTTCTTTGGAATTGGTATGTTTTACTGTGGACCAGTACCTCATTCTAGTTTATATTATACCGGTGAACTACGCAAAGGATCATTGACTGGTTTACCTCAGAATGATTTTGTGTGTGTGTCATAGCTTTCAATTAATTAGTCAAAGAAGGTGTCATAAAACATTTGTTTTGTTTGTTAAAAAAATTTCCATTGTTTGTGTTTATGAATATGTTAAAGGTGTATTGGTATCTGCCTGTGAGGGAGTGATAGTGCATTGGAATAATGTTCTATGCTTTTAAGTGCAATATTGTGTCCATAGCAAGCTTCAGACAGTTCATATTACGGTTAATCTACTTAGCTTTGAACAATGGAATTTGGTTATTAACTACAAGTCAGTATATTTAGCCTTCACTTACATTGAACAGCGGAACACAGAGAGGGAAATTTAGATAAAGAATTTAAACTGAGAAAAGGTTTTCTTCCATAATTATCAAATGTTCTATGCAACAAATTCACCAGGCCAAAATTGGTTTCATTGTTGCTTAGTTACTCTCAGTAATTTGTCTACAGCAGTGGGTTAAGTAATGTAACAGTGACGATCAGGACCTATAGTTAATGCCCTTGAATTGTGTAGAGGTCTTGAGAAGAGCATGACTTATTTCAGTGTTGTGGCCAACAGTTTAAACTTGGAGTGATTTGGAATATCATCTATAAAAACTTTTCTAGATCACATTGAAATGTAGGGGCTCACAGTATATTGGTTGTCTGACACCAGAAAATGAACAGAAATTGTTTAAATATCTTTTTTCTGTACATTTACAACATTACTATGTATAATGTATTATATATTCTTAAGTGATATAGATTATATGTGTCAAACTTTCATGTGACTGTCTAGTCATTTCTAGCACTTGCTAAGTACATATACATGTATAATTAGAAATTTTCTACATATACAGTGAAACCTGTATAATCTGACATGTACCGATAGACTAAATTTGCACAGTGTATTGACAAAAGAAAGTCGGTAAAATGAGAATTTAAATAAGGGTTGGAATTCACAGTGAAACAGATTGCACAGATGTCAGATTAGACCGTTTTCACTGTAGTTTAGATTCTGAAAACCAAGTTTTTTTTTTTCTGAAGGGACTATCTTCAGTACAATGCCATGTTTAAAGTACACCCTGGTATAAAAATTTTAGACTTCTCACTTGTCCACAGTAAATTTTACTCAAATGGGTGAGAGGGCAGTGGTTATTTAAAACTGGCCTTCATTTGTTAAGATCCAGCTAATGTATTAATTATAACAAACTCAATAGATGTAATTTTCTGTATTTGTTTCCTGTATTTTATTTGCTATGACAGCATGGTATGAAGGCTATACAGTCAAGACTGACTGTACAAACAGACTTGTTATACATGTATGAATAAGTTTGTTTGTAATGGTGAAAGTTTGAAGGCAATGTTCTGTAACTGTTTTATTATCTGATCATATAAATTTGGATGATTGTTGAATCTATTAGGTTTACTGTTTCCAACTAAGACTTGTGTCTTTTTCAATTCAGTTTAATGCCCCCTCCCCTAAAAAAAACAACCTTTGAGGGAGAGGGTTAATTAAGGGATCATAATGTCTGTCTGTCCTTTCTTTTGCTTTCTTCTGTCCAATACAGTTTTTGCCTAGGCTTTCACTTGTAACAGAGAAACCTTGGTACATGTACTAGGCACTTTAGGAGAGAGAGAGAAAAAATTATGACCCTGAACCAAGGTCATCTGGACAAGGTCACAGTTTTTGAAGGGTAAAATAATAGTAGTTATCATAACTTCGCAGTAAGAAGTTACTCTGTCTAGGACATACCGATATATTTGTGATGCAGGAATGGTAGGAGCTCGTACTTGATAATGTTCATTTGTACTTAACTGGTCATGACCCTGAGATAGAGGTCATTTGAACAAGGTCACAGACTTCAGAAGGGAAAAGATTTTTCCAGATCAAAGCAATATTAACTTGGTGCAAAAGTTTCTTATGATTACCGCTAATTAGAGACATGTGTCATGAAAAAATAATAATTAAAATTGATGCCATATGTCTTTAAGAAGAGCAAGATTGTTTAAATGGTAGTGTAAATGTTTTGTAAATCTAAATAGTTCTTGTATGCAAATTTTCAAAAGATACATATTTTTGGTGTTCCCTGCAGGATATATTAGTCCTGGGACATTCCTTTGGAGGAAAGGCCCATTTCCTTTCATGGTCATTTTGTCAGTATCTATAAGCTACTTGAGAAGAAAAACAAATGTCAAAGGAAAAACAATTCAAAGTTGCCATAAACTTGTATGATTACAATGCACTTGCTCTAATAGTGTGGTTTCATTTATTTTTGTGAGGATGAAATTTCATGGTTTTTGGCAAAAACAGAATTTCATTGATATTCGTGGATGCTACCTCATCCTTCTCTATGAAGTAATATTTGTAGTTTGTTGAACATTTAATTTCTTGGTCTGGCTTAACCAAGAAATTTGTTTTTAATGTAAAATGAAGAAACCACAGTGTGTAAGTGAAGGATCTTTTTACATGTATATTGGAGAAAATAGAACTAGGGTACTGAAATTATCTGTAAACAAAAGCTTATGTGAGGAAGTGGGACTTTATGCTTTTACTTGTCTACAAAGTTTCTCAACAGTGTTTAATTTTATCTTACTTCCGGACATGTGCTTCATTAGATAGTGCAATGTAAATTAGTTATCATACATAAGAAATAAAGTTCTAAATTGTTATTTTTTTTTATATTAATGAAAAGTAATTCACATGATGAATATTGTACCAAAGGTTATAAACTTTCACAAGACATATCTTTATTATTTAATATTGCAATTTTTTATTGCCAGAACAAGAATAAAACAAATTGTACATTGTTTTATATATCCCTATATACGTTGTACAATATTTGTCACTTGAAGAGATATATGTAGTACACATAAGAGATAAAATATTGCGGGGTTTCCCATGAGCTTATTTACTGTGTATAAGAGCCACACTAAACTTGTATCTAGCCAAGCACAATAAAAATATTTAGTGTAACTAAAACATTTCTCTGTGCACAGTAATATTCAAAATCTGCTACTGTTTGAAGGGTGTTCTTTGAAGACAAGGGTAGCTATTTCTGAAAAAATGAATAAAAATTCATATTTTTCAACACTTAATCTATGTATTTCCAAATATTTGGGTTTTTTTTTCTCATTATGACAAACTCTCATTGATCTCCAAAAATCTTGTTCATGTGCTATGAACCACAGTCAAAATATAAATGATGCAGACTCATTCATTTTCTAAAGAAACATGCAAAACTAAATTCAAATGAAATGCATTTTTACATAGCTACAGATGTAGAGCAAATGATGCCTGATAATTAAAGCTCTGAAGGAATAATAGTAAACACTCTGTCAGTCAGTCAATCCCCCCTTTTTTTCCCTAGATTGATGATGTTTAAATAAGGTGTGTTGTTTTAGCAAGTTGTGGTACATGTCAGTCATCAGTACAGTAACTTGATCCAAAGAGCTGGATCAGACCAAGTCGAGAGATGCGTATTAATTGGCAGATCAAATAAAACAGTTCTTCAGATCAAGTTACTTTAGTTATTATAAATTTATTATATACTCTCTAATATTAAACAAGAAATATAATCAAATTTGTTAAGAATTCATCAAAATATTAACTTTTAAAGGAGAAATCTGTTACTGCACTTTGGTATTGTTATATAAATGCCAGATGGCAAATTCATCATTTTCAGAAAATGATGAACTGGAAAGCCAGATTGCACTTGGTGAAATCTACAGTCTCAAAAAAAGAAAAGAAAATTGATGGGTATACAATAGAATTACATGATACCTGTTTTGATTTTGTATGTAATTAGGTGAGGGGTTGGAGTGGTGGGGGTAGATTTTTTTTACTTTTCAAGAAAGAATGGGCAAAGAAAGACATTGAAAAATTTTCCCAACACAGACTAAGTAGAAAGGATGATAATTGTATCAATCTATGGGATTAATTATCTTGGCTGCTGCAAAAGATCAACAACTTAATTTTATTTTTGTCACACTAGAGTAAATTAACACCCCTAACTTCTAGTAATGTTTTAGAAATTAAGAACGTAATTGGCACTTCAAGATGTATTATCACTTCTTTCTGCAAATTATGTTTTTGAGGCTAAGAGCTTCAAAATAAATTAACACCTTTCATGCAATCAATGCTTTTGAAATTAATACATGTATTGCGTAGGATATTATTTTGCTTTCATGAATTGTGTTCTGCCTTTATTTACTGAATTTTCAGTTTTGCTGAAGTACATATTTAATTGAAATATAATTTTACATACCATAGTTTAATCATGTTCTGTTAAACACCAATTTACGTAATTTTTGTGGTTGAGCCAGACCACAAAATAGCTAGGTTATTACCAATAAGAGAATAGGATGATAGAGGTAGCTGTCAACAAATTTACTTGTGTAGTTCTGTCAAAGTTACCTTTAATTTACATATGTAGATGAAGAGTGCAGAAGGTCTGAAACACACACAACATATCTGTTAGTGGGGGGCTCTTGCTGACTAGTCAGTTTTCTAGTTCAAATGAAAAATATATTGATATTTCCACAAAATAACAAAATGCAATATCTGTCATATGATCTGGACCATTTGCTGATATTAGATCTTGGTTTTGAAAAGATCCTCGAAAGGGATACAGTAAAACATGCTTATGCCAAACATGCTAATGAATTGTTGCTTACAGCATAATGATTTTCATTCCTTGTGGCTCTAAAATGTATTGTGAACTTAACGGATATAAGGAATTACTTTTATAAAGAAGCAAAATTATCCATCCTGGCACTTTGTTATAAGTGTGTTTTACTGTATATTATTCTGGATGTGATTTGCCAGTAAATGCATTTGGTAATCACACCAACACCAAAACTCAGACCGAGAGAGACAAGAAGGGATGTGATGCACATGCTTGCCAGTATATTTAAGACACAAGGGAATTACAGGACATTACAGCATCACATGGTAAGGTGGTGGAATTACTGCAGTTCAATACAGAAGATGCATGAAAAGTATGTAAGAGTCAGCCACATTAAACTGAATGTTTCAGTGTTGTGATATATGTATTTTGTACAGTTGTTATACTATCACGGAGATCCAAGTCTTATGAAGTAAAGGGATGTTTAATGTTTGGTGACTTTTGTCAGTATGTTGATCAGAATTGAGCTTTGGACACTCCTTGTGGTATAATATTGCATGTGGAATGGGAGAGCATTGTTTAGAAATATGTCAAAATAATGTTGCTCCTAACCACAGAAAAATTATTTCAGTCATCATTTACTGGTAAATACTCATTGTTGAAAGTACATATAGTATAATAAACTAAACATTAAATATTACAGATTGTCTTTTGCATTTTTCGTTCATATAGACCAGAGTTCTTCACAATCTGCAAAGCAGAAGGAAAGAGATTTTGGCAAAGATTCAGAATATTCCTGCGAGCTCTGGAGGAGGTACAGTTAGTAACCCCCTTCTGAGAGGATGTGCATCAGTGACTCCAACTGTAAGGGAAATCATCAAAGACCCGTACAAGACTGCCAATGACAAATTCATGGTATCAACAAAGTCAACCTTGAACAAAGCTGTCAGCGATACACTGCATGCCAATCAGATAACATCACTGGCAGAAGTGCAGAAATCTAGTGAGTTGTCTCGCTTATTTAATTATCCTCTCACAGAAAGATCGGAGAATATGATATCTGAATAACTGTGTTTACAGAAAGTGTTGAAGACACTTTATAAAGAGTCTCATTTAAATTTCATTTCCTTTTTACTCTACTGATAAGTTGCAAAATTATCGTATCTTTTTTTTTTCCGGAAAGGTCAGTGCTTTACATGAATACAGTAAAATTTAATTATACTGAAGTCCTAGAAACCTGTGAATTTTCTTCGCTATATCCATAATTTGTTATATACGTATAAGGAGTTTGTTCAAGTGTATACATGTATAGCAAATTCACAGTGTAAATGTTTCCTTCAATTATGACTACGGAATATGTTCAGAGAACTATTAAAAATACAGAACTTATTTTGGAATAATAAAGTTTTCTGATAAATTGCATGTGAAATATAAACACAAACCAAAAATATTGTCAGTACATTTTTAAATTTTGTGATTTTGAAAAATTTGTGATAAAAGAGGCAATTATTTTTAACCTTTACGGGACACAAAATCAGTTTGCTATATCCATAAAATCATAATAGTGTATGCTATAACCATGAAATTTTACAATGAATTGTTAAGAATTTTGCCGAGGATACAAAAATTGCTGTTTCCATAAATTCACAATATCAGTTTGTGTACTAAATGAGTTTTACTGTAAATACTTGAATGATGTTCAGCAAGTGTTGTACCTGAAGCATTGAGGTATTTGGAGAGGACAGAAGGAAAGAGAATAAACTTTTGATTTCAAGGATTGAAAGCTATCCCCCACACTTTTTTTTGGGGGGGGGGAGGGGGTTAATATGGAAATCTCCTTGTCTTTCTGCCCTTGCGAACCTGTCCAGACCTTACCTTCATACTGATGATACATTGGACGCTCATACTACATACTAAACACAATGATTGCTTATGAGTTACGGGTGTGCTGTGACCTTACATTAAACCAAGATCAGTTTTGGTAAGTTATTAAGAGTTACAGTTAGTAACTGGGAGAAAAAATATGTTTCTTGTCTGGTCCATAACTTTGTAATGGAGAAATATTGGATTTTATCCTTTAGACAAAGATTACTAAAATGTATAATCAAGGTCACTGACAAAAATAGGTACAATTCCTTTCTTGTCCATATATTTGTAACAGACAAACATTGGAAGGGGTAAGTAAGAGAAAAAATGGAAAGGGGAAAAAACTTACTGACTTCGAGTTTGAAATGTCAAGGTGACAGGGATTTCTGAAACATATAGCATTTACTTGAGGTCATTGAATATGTAGAAAAAGCAGACTGATTTTGGACTAAAATTTCAAGATTTTAGTTGAACTTTTCTTGATGGCAAGTTTCTGTTTTGCTTTTGTAGATTGGAATCAGGATTACATCCCTTGGTCCAGTGGTGACACAACTTTGTCAGTTTTTACATCTTCATCAGACACCATGGCTTCGTCATCTGACATACTGACAGACAGCGGTGACATCTGGAATGAGGTGAGTGTGAAAGAGTATTTGTGAAGTTGCAGTAAAATGAGCTCATGAAATTTTTTTATTACATTCAAAGTTATTTATCTGTGTACAAATTCAAAACAAGGGTATCAGTGTGGTGCAAGTTTTAACTGTGGCACAGACAAAATCTCATTTACAAATTGATAGAAATGTATTTAGCTACAAAACATGCCTGCAGGCATTAGATATTCCATATATTGGTATTGTAGAGTAGTTCTGATAGCACAGAATTCATGTTAAACTGGCTGAAGGACATACCAGATGACCCTGTACCAGTGGAGAACAAAGAGGATACAAAATGGTGGCTCAACAACACAAGTCTATCAGGACCATTACAAACCAGCACCAAAAACAGAGCATTGGATTCATATCCAAGGTGAATAAGACATGAATCAAATAGTGATTTGTTTATTTGTAAAAGTCAGTTTGAAGAAAAATAAAGACATCCCATTTTTTGCAAAATCTTGATAAAAGATTCACATTGCTGGAAACTTGCAAGAGATCTTATAAAGGCCAGCTACAACAAACATGAATGATATCATATAGGATTAGCTGCAAAGAGTGGAACTCATTTTTAGCTCTGCTAGTCAAAGATCAGAAGAGCTTATCCAGGATAAGTTGGCCATTGTCCTTCTTTTTGTCTGTCTGTCTGTTTGTCTGTACCCGCTACTCCTCAAGTTTTGAATATTTTAATAAGACATATTACAGAAGTAGATAGCACTTAGATATTCTCTTTGTCAGTTTCCAATATTGTTGTATTCTGTTTCCTTGGTTACTAAAAATAGAAATTTCTGTGATATTTTTATAAAGTGCTTCTCCTCCTTCAGGTTTGTTCCAATTTCAAGAAAATTGGTATACAAGTAGATTATTCTAAGATACATAGTTCTCCTTATCGTTTGAGAACAATTTTGCCATGGTAACAAAAATTAGAACTTTATGTGAAAATTTTGAAAAGATACTCCTCTTACACTATATTCCTATTTCAATTAACCTGGCACACAAGTAGACTTCAGTAAGATGCATAATTTTTAATATCCAGTTTGTATAATAAAATTTTGAATTTCAATGAAATATCTCCTGGTCAAAGATACAATGGTAAGGTGGCCATCATCTGTCTTTTTTCTCAGTTTCCCACCTCCACCTGCCTTTCAGATATATATATTTTTTAATGAAATGACCATCATGTAAAATCCTGGATCCATGAAATTCCAATAATTTTTAATAAGCAATCTGGCAACCTGCTTTGTGTACAAGAGCATCTGCTGCAGAAAATTAATTTTGAAAAATAATCTCATGAATTTTTATTCCTAGCAATTCTACAAGCATATTGTATGTGTGTGATCCATTGTAGGAGCAGTATGTCGGTGTGCTCTGACAAGACAGATGAGGAGATTCCTTTTGATCCTCCAATTGTTTCTAAGTTTGGACCAATTTCCAGGTCCTGTAAGACAAAGTACAAATTCTCTGATCCTGTACAGGCTACAGCCAATCAGGTGGGTGTTAAGATTGATCAGTTCTCTAAACATGTTCAGGCCACAGCCAATCAGGTGAGTGTTAACACATATCAGCTCTCCTGACATATATAGTCTACAGCCAATCAGGTGGGTGTTAAGATTGATCAGCTCTCCAAACATGTACAGACTACAGCCAATCAGGTGGGTGTTAAGATTGATCAGTTCTCTAAACATGTTCAGGCCACAGCCAATCAGGTAAGTGTTAACACATATCAGCTCTCCTGACATGTATAGTCTACAGCCAATCATGTTGGTGTTAAGATTTTTCAGTTCTCAAAACTTGTTCAGGCTATAGCCAATCAGGTGGGTGTTAAGATTGATCAGCTCTCCAAACATGTACAGGCTACAGCCAATCAGGTGAGTGTTAAGATTGATCAGCTCTCCAAACATGTACAGGCTACAGCCAATCAGGTGGGTATTACGATTTATCAGTTCTCCGATCTTTACAGGCTACATCAAATCTTTTTTTAGTTCTCTAATCCTGCACAGGCTACAGCTAATCAGATAAGTGTTACGATTTTTCAGTTGACGGATCCTTTGTAGGATACAGCCAATCAACTGAGTGTCAAGATATTTTAGTTGTCCAACCTGTGCACGTGTGTGTGTATCATTAATATATGTGATATTTGAGACAAAATTGATCTATAATTTTAATGTTAAAAATTATAGTTCTAAATATAGCAGTGTAGATAGTACAGATACAGGCATATTGCCAAGATGAAGGTTTTTTTGACAGTTTAAGATTTGTGTTTAAAGGCTTTTTATCATGTCTTAAAATTTTTTAATATGACAAAATTTACATGCTAAGACCATAAAAAATTTATTAATAGTTTCTCAGGCCAAAAATTTCGAAATTCAATGCAGCAGGCAGGTTTTTTTTTTTTTTTTTTTTTTTTTTTTTATTTTTGTTGGAAGCAGGTGTTATACCTTCTTTTCATGTCAGTCATTCAACAAAATGATGATATCAACTGATTCTAACTTTTTTGTTCTCTTACATTAATTATAATATGTATTTAACTTTAAATAATGTTATTCCAAACAAAGTTAATTCATAAAATACTGTATTAACAAGAAATGTTCTGTTTATCTAATAAAAACATTTATCTATTAGCATTTATGAAAAGGGGAATAACTCAATTTTCTTTTTCAACTTGGAAAAATAGAAAATTGAGTTATTTCCCTTTTCAATATGTCAATAAAATTGATCAATGCGGCAGTGTTTGACCCGATGCGGCAGTGCCTGAGATACTATTAATTTTTTTGGCCTAATATAATTATCCATTTAAAATTCTTTGTTAGAAAATTATTCTTTTTAATGTTTCAGCTATTCAAAGTTTGAATTTCTCAATATGCGTATTTTGATAGTCAAAGGAATATTGTTGATGTCAAAATTTCTTCCATCCATATTGTGTAGTCTATTTATTTAGCGTTAAAATCTGTTTGATGTAAGTTTTCTTATGATAAGCTTTACAAGTTCTAATTGACCATTGACACATTGACCATGACATTTCAGTACCACATGACCCCTATCTATTTAGTGGAGATTTTTACTAAGGATCATATGTTTGGCATTTTATGGCCTAATTACAACCATTTTCAAAATTATTTAATGATTAAATGTGATTAATTATATGTTTTAAGAATATGATAATGTGTCATTTTTAAGAAATTTACATATGTTATAAAAACCCTTTAAACATTTCCTTCGGAACTTTGTTTCAGGGTCATTCCACGATGACCCCTGTGACAGCCATTACCCCTGTGAGGCGACCTCAGACAACAGCTTTCCCACAGGAAACTAAGGTGAAGAAAACAAATGAGGTCCATATGCATGGTTACAATCTCCATGCCATCTCCACTGGATGTTACGACAAGTAAAGCATTATTTCATTATATGGTTGGCGTTGTGGACCCTGTGATTGATTGAAAATAAAAGAACAAATTTCAGTTTGGAAAAGTAATGCATATCATCTCTAATGATTTGTTCAACTGAATTAGTGTTGGACTTATTTCACAGTTTTGTTTGCAAGAAGGTTGACAGCACAGATGAAACAGATTTTCTTATATATAAAAATACTTTGGCTATATAGTCAATAGAACCTTGTAAAATTAATATGAACTATTGATTACAAGAAATAAAATCAGAATTTTTTTTTAAATGAGTCATGTACCTTTTTTTGAATTGAAGATCAGAGATGGGGCTACAGGATTACGTCAGACATGAGCTGTCGCGTCTAGAGAAGCAGGCACAGAATGCCTACACAGAGGGAGAGGCTCTCAATTGTGAACTGAAGGCCGTGGAACTCCAGATTTCACTGGTAACATTTACTGTACATGTATATAACATGTATATATACTAAAAAAAAGGGGGGGGGTAGTAAATTCAAACTTTATTTTGTTATTCCTCAACAAGTTGGTGTTGTAACACTTATGTGTTTGTCTATGTGCAGAAGGAAGTTCCATATAGCAATGTGCTTGTTTTCAATTAACTGAATGAAAGTAAGATTTAATGTATTTTTTACATACATATAATTAGACATACTTTTTTACTGATTTGACTTTTTCTTGGTTCACAGGAAGATGGATCCATGCTAGAAGCTCCACCAAGCAAACCTGAGAAGACTATATTCGGATGGGAGTTGGAGTCTAAGTTGGAGAGACCCCCAGGAGCATGGAGCAGCTTTGAGTTATTAGCTGCAGCCACTACCAAAGGAATGGTAATAATTATTCAGCCATTGTTACATTCTTACACATTGGCAAAAAATTAGGGAGAATTCACCATGTACTGGACTCGTACTGTGAATCGGATAAATTTGACAATTTAGATCAAGTAAAGTCAACAGTATAAAAAAAATTTCACATAAGTGTAATTTTTGAGGACGAAATATTGTAGTCCATACAGTGGATTGAAGTTAAGATTGATCTAAAGAAGGGAAACCAAGTGGAAGTGATGTAGTAAAATACAATTTTGAAACGACAATGTAAAGAAAAAGGTTTTAAAAATAATAAATCAACCAGGATATACTTTATTTGACAATCTCTTTGAAAAACTACATATTTTAATGTCATCTATTTTAATTAATGTATTTCCAGCAACACAAAGTACATGTATCAATATACATGTATTGATTTAGGGGGGTCTTTTTTTAGAAACTTTTTTTTTCAACAGCGATCCATTTTCTCCATGGATGGCACACAATTTCACTATGCGTCGGACTATATAACATACACTGTATGAACTGATACAGTTAAAATGTTATCATATGTTACTGTCTAAATGAGATTATTGATTTTTATTCAATCCATCAATCAAAACAAATTTTGTATTCATAGTTTTTGTTAAATTAAATAAATCCTCTCATTGTAAAACAAAGGCCTTTAAAGTGTATTTTAAACTATTTCTTAATTTTCTCTGGAATATTCATTTACTATTAAACTTTAACAAAAGTGCGATTTTTAAATTTACATTAATATTGTTAGAAACTTCAATGTTGATTTTTGACGTGTAGTTTTAAGTGCAGCACAACTTCTTTTAGATTTTATTTCTCAATGTAGCATTAACAAGTCCGAAGTTATTAAGTTTATATTAATTTATTAAGCACATTCAGAATATCCAATCCTACATGTAGGTGCACTCTGTCTGATCTTCAGTTAAAATGCCAATTTTTTTCTATTTTTCCATTTAATTCGAGAAAATTGGAATTTATTCATCAAATTTTTGAATTACTCTGATTTTTTAAAATTTCTTCATAAGAATAACAACTGTATTAAGTATATAAAGAATTATTATTCTTTATTTAAAGAAAGGGGGTGTCCAATCCATAGTGAATTCACCCTATTACTAATAATGCATTCTTACTTTGACCTATAACATTCATGGATGACAGGATTATTACATCTAATCATCTTAATTATACCCCACGCAACAAGTTGCGGGGGGTATAATGTTTTTGACCCATCCGTCAGTCAGTCAGTCAGTGTGTCAGTCAGTCAGTCCTGTTTTTTTTTTTGTCAGCGCAACTCCTCATAAACTGCTGCACAGAATTTGGTTAAACTTTGCAGATATTTAGTACACAGTGTGTAGATGTGCATATTACCAGGAAATTCCAATTCCCTTATTTTTCTGGGAATTTCGGCACTTTTCAACTTAGATTTTTGGCCATATCTTGAATATAGAGATGAACAGGTTGTTAGCGCAACTCCTCTTAAACCGCTGCACAGAATTTGGTCAAACTTTGCAGATGCTTAGTACACAGTGTGTAGATGTGCATATTACCAGAAAATTCCAATTCCATTATTTTTCTGGGAATTTCGGCACTTTTCAACTTAGATTTTTGGCCATATCTTGAATATAGAAATGAAAAGTTTGTCAGCGCAACTCCTTTTAAACCGCTGCACAGAATTTGGTTAAACTTTGCAGATATTTAGTAAACAGTGTGTAGATGTGCATATTACCAGGAAATTCTGATTCCATTATTTTTGCCTTAAGAAACTTTCCAGCTAGGTAATAAGGAAATCCACTGATATCAGCTTTTGAAATGAAATTTTATGTGAAATATTTTACGACCTTAAAAGACCCCTATTGATTTTGAGATCAAAATATTAATGATTTAACACACACACACACACACACACACAAAATCTTGGATAGTTCTCCCCCCCCCCCCCCCAAATTGGTACTTTGCCTTAAATAATTTCATAAGTACAGTATATAAACAAATTCATATGACTACATCATAATTTTGTTTTCATCAATTATTTAAATGTGTAAATTGTCATGTGTTGGACATGGACTTACATGTACACTCATTAACAAATCAAAATCGCTGAGGAATTTAAATAACAGTTTGTCAGCATAACTCCTGCACTGAATTTCCTGAAACTTTGTAGGTATTTCAGACATAATGTATAGATTTGTACATTACCAAGAAATTTTGATTCCATTATTTATCTAGAAACTTCAGCCCAATGAAATGTAACATACAAAGATTTGAATGTCCTTATATGCAAGAAGTTTTGATGTGATGATTTTTTGCAAGTAATGCCCCTTTTTGAATTACACTGTGTATTTAAAATGCACTGTGCCATTCATTACATGTTGAATTGTCGAGTTTTGGGGGAGCATGGGGTATGTGAGCTTGTTCACTTTTTCTTTCATTTGAGAATGTCATGAAAATTTGTGTCATCTTAACTTGAGAATGTCATGAAAATAAGCTTAAGACTGGGTAATTATATGTGAAGGAAATTTAGATCTATGACATTTCACTAAAAAGTAGGCATTAGTAATTATTAATTAGAAACAAGTCTTTTCTCTTATGCCTTGTTTATGTGGAGTGTTTAATTTGAATTAAACATAAGTCACTGCAAATTAAATTTGAACCACATTTACACGGAGAATTTAATATGAATTAGTTGAATTCGAATTAATTTACTGCACATTGAATTACTTTGCAAAGCTAATTCAAATTAAATTTTGACATTATTTTAATGGCAAAATTAATTCACATTCCACATGTCAGTAGTCAGCTTATAAGTACTTATCCTTTTTTTTCTTGAGTGAAAAACAAAGGGAAAAAAATGCTTATCTCCAAAAATGTGTACAGTAACAGATACTATAACATTATGTAAACTGGATGCTGCTCTGCATATTAAGGTGATGTGATTTGCAAATGACTCATAATAACCTTACTGAATAGCCTACGAGTAGAAATAAAAGCTTTAGTTTATTTGGCATTAACTGTCATGTGAATGCAATTTAGTGGCATTAGTTTAATTCAAATTATTTTACATTGCATTGATTTACTGCAAATTAAATGTTTAATGGGCATTGATGTGAACAGGGCATTAGACCTGTCATATACATGATGAATACATGTAGTAGCATGTATTATTTCATTTGCTGTAGTTTTACTATCTGTATTACAGAAATTGGATGACATCCACATGGCATTAGATGCCCAGAAGAAGGCAACACAGTCATTACGAAGCAAACAGCAAGAAGATTAGAGGGGGAAAGAAAGGGTTAAGAGTGCTTTTAAAAGCTATGAACATATCACTGTCTTTCTTTCATGGGACAGGGGAGTGTTTTTTACTGTGTATTGTGTTTTAAATATACTGAGTGTTTATTTTTATTCTTTCAATATAATCATGCAATAACCATTTGTTAAACAAAGTATGACATTTGGACATATTCTCTACAATGTAGGGTGAAGGAAATACTATGTATCTTCTGAATTTTGAATTCATTGTGAAGCTCATTATTCAGTGTCTACCATGTGGACTCAATATGTCAAGTTTTAGATTGATTGGAATTTTGGTTCTTATGTCGTACATATTGTGCATCTCTGTATAAACATGTTCTATTAGAGCTACATTATACCTCATTTTCATGTTTTTCTGTAATATTGTTGAAATGGCTTTATTTTTCAAATGTATAATGAAAATATATCCATGGTGTATGTATGAATCAAGGATGGAGGGGCACCACTGTTTAATACCAGTGCTTTGTTAATTCATTCAATGCTAAAAACAGAGGATAAAAATCTCTTGTTTTTTTGTTTGTTTGTTGTTTTTTTTTTCATTATATAAACTATCAAAATTTAAGAAAATTTTGAAGCAACAGAGAGATATACTTTTGAATTAAGGTCAAGATCTAGTACTGTCTATTTGTGTTAGATCCATTATGATGCCATAATTTAAACAATTGCAGAAAATATAGAATTTTCATGAAATTTAATTTAAAACTGTGTCAAAGTAGGGTATTCCCATTACCTATTTTCAATTTCATATTTTAAAAAAGAGGTCAAGAACATATAATTATGATTTTCTGAAAGACTGGAGGTAATCTGGATACATTTACTTTGTCTAAAAGGAAAAAAAAGCTATATTTATCACAGGTTTTCTTCATTTGCATTGAAAATGACAGTTTAAAATTTGTTGGGTTTTTTGTTGTGTTTATCTAAAAATGGCTCAACACACCTTAATTTACCAATCTTTAGTTATAAAGCATCAAAGGAATTCATTTCTAAAATTGGAAAAATTTGCAAAAAATTGAATATTAAAAACCAGATATATAAACTTATTTTTTGAAAAACTTTATCACATTATCATAGCTTTTTTTATACATCTTTATGAAAGTCTGATTTGCAAAGCCATAATTTGTGTTGATGTGAAATATTTCAGTACATGTATATACTTTGTACAAGGTACAATGCATGCCTATTTTTGTTGGAATTTTAATGACATTTTATCATTGGTGTGTATATATTAGATATATACTAATTTTTCTGATAGTCTGACAAAATGTATTTTTTTTAAATGAAATACCATGTCAGCTGTTTTATTTATGTGACACATGTGTACTATAAACAACAGACTTGACTCAGAGTCTGGTAGGTTGGGTTTCATGTGATTGAATGGTAACTGTTCTGTACTCTGTACAAAAAAAAATTCTGTGAATTTCTTGAGAAGACAGCTATTTTATCATTGTCATTCATTTTAATTTTTTTTTCTTTTTTGAAAATGGGTGGGGAGGGTTTGATATGAACTCTTTTTCCTTAAGAGAAAAAATACTAGAAGCTATTGTACTGTATGGCAAGAAATGTTGAAAGATATATATATACTTTTAAAAGCGGAAAGGAAAATGAAATTGGTGTATTATGAATTTTTTTGGAATAGAATTGTAGATAACATTTTGAATTATTCCTTAATATATATATAAAAAAAATCAAATTCACATATACAAATATCTTCAATACATAGAAATGCATGAAATTATTTTGTTTGCAATGAATAAAGGGTTTTCCAGTAAGAAAGATAACTCAGTTCAAAGCTACCATAAAGAAAGCTGAAGTTTTTTTTAACTTATTTTAGAAAATGAAAAAAAAAAGGAAAAAAAAATTGTCCAAACTTTTTACTGGTCAAAGCCCAGAAGATCCTATGAGATGGTAAGATGTCAGTCATCTATCTGTTTGTCTGTAAACAATTTTAAAAATTGCTACTTCTCCTATATCGTTGACTCAGTTTCAATAAAACTTGGTACACAGGTAGACAAAACGGGTACTATTAATAAGATATAATTATGATCATAGGTTTTTGATGTTGATGAACAGTGTTGTTCTTTTGTCTAAAAATGGAAATTTCAGTGAAAAGTTTTCAAAAATGCTACCCCATCCTTCAGTTTTAGTAAAATTTCAGTAAGTTTCGATAAGTCCTGGTACAAAGTTTTCTGTGAAATTGCTGCTCTTACAAGTTTTGGTCAAATTTCATTAAAACTTGATACACACTTAGACTATACTTAGACAGAACATTTTTATCCAGTTATTTTTAGACAAACGGTTTTGCAATGGTTACTAAAAATAGAATCCTACTATTCCTACAATTTTTCTCATGATTTCAATAAACATGATAGTAGACTCAACCAATAATCATAATTCTATTCATTGATGTTGCCATAGCTTCTAAGTTCCGAGTCCATGTGCTATTTTTCTCTTTATAAACCAGTAGAGCTACAGTCTTGTCAGATATTTCTGGTTGTATTATCATTTTTATACATAAAAAAAGCATTCAATAACATCTACTACCAATTTTTTGTGAATATATTACATAAATGACATTTTACTATAAAAATCAATCATTTAATGAAAGCTGGAAAATAGTTTGTAATTATTTTATTTCTCTTCTTATTATTTTTTTCTTCATTTTTTCACTTGATAATCTGATTGAGTTTTAATTAGTAAAGATTATTGTATAAATTAAGGTAGTCTGTTCCTCAGTTTCTGAAAATCAGCAGTTAAATGATTGAAAATGCTCACAAAAATGTCACTGAAGTTACAAAGAAATGTGATCTCTGGACAAAAAGACTATCCAGGCATTTTGAAAAAATTCCATGTTTTTATACTTATGCAGTATTGTAGTTCTTCATAAACTTTAATTGTTATGTTATACTTAAAAAGCATGTGATATCATTGCAAGATATCAAAGATCACTTCCAACTTCATGCTAATAAACATTGGTATCTAAGGAAAGGTTAAAGGACATTCAGTTTCTCTAAAATTGTAATTGGTTTTGTATGTTTATGGGGTGCAAATGTCTACTTTGCACAAGATCTTTTCAAGGAACTTTGAATCTATTAAGATGCATGAAATTAAATTTATTTTAGAAAAAAAATTTTGATTATTAAAGAAATAATTTTAAGAGTTATTGTTCCTGACTGAGGAGCAGATATCCTTAATTTCTTTTTGTAACAGATGTAATTTTCATCATGTGAAGACTAATTATTGTGTGTGGTGTCACCTTCAAAGAATGATGAACTTGTCTTTTAATCTGACACATCTTTAATCTTTAACATGCATTGAACAAGCTATCTGACCTAAATTTGATAGTAGTTACAATTCTTTATGAAAATACTGTTCAACATGATGGAATTTTGTAAGGGAGACCCATTTTGGCCTTTTTCAATTTTCTTTTCAGTTGTGTGTGCATTACATTTTTAGAACAAGATTATAATATTTATAAGTCTGGTATATTCAGTCTTGTTTTTGTTTCTTAGAAGAAACCGTTCTGAAGGGGGAAAAGTGTCCAGCAAGTGTTTATGAGATCATATACTCAGTGCTTTTGTCGGATGAAATTCGAAAGTCACATTATTGAATTCTGTATGTTTGCTTTTAAAAAAAAAGATAAATGACAAGACTAACAGAAATATACTGAAAGGGAAAAGAAAGGCAGGGTAACATAATATGCGGATTTTTTTTTTTTTTTTTTTACTTTGGACGAAAATTTTGAAAACTGATCAGAGGGGTATCTTGGTTCAATACATGTACTGTGCACTAAAATCTGTTCTTAGAATTACTCAACCGTGAAATGTATGAGGTCATGTAGGGAAAGTGGTAAAAGCCAAAAACACGTGCATATTGATGATGAAAGGTTTGTCAACACATCTTGTAACCCCACTTAATGCACTGGAGGTATGCACATCTTTTTTCTTCAATATTTACATACAATTTGAATTTCTTGCAATCATGGCATGACTGACGGAAGTTCCATGGGTATGCCTATCGCATTGCCTTAGTAAAGAAAAAGGCAACAGGTTTCTGTGCAGTTTGGGGAATTTTTCCACCATAGAATTTCTCGTCCGTCGTTAGAGAGGTCCAACCAATGACGTTTGCGCGTGGCAACGTCACGTCAAGATTGGGCTATTCATCCTGCTTCCCCTGTAATCGCCACCTCATTACCACTGAAACCGCTTTTAATACAGTAGTCAATCATAATCATAAAAAAATTCACCCATGAACTGAAAGAATCTGATTCCATGATTTTGGTTTGTGAGTTCGTCAACTTTACGACGGTGTTCCTCTCGCTCGTGCACACGTGCGTCGTATGTTTAATTTTTTCATCATGTTTACCTCCGGCCCAATGTATCCAGAGTTTGTCAAGACTCTCTCTCAAACATTCATATTAACCCTCTCGACTGGCCCCCGTTATAGGTCCTTTTTTTCTCTAACCAAACATCTGTTGGACTAACTGGACGGTAAGCCTTGAAGGCGTAGGGAAACCGAAGCGAGTCTACACCAGCAAAGGACTGCCTTGTCGGAATCATCAATGGTTGGATAATATTCGTATGAGAAAGTTAAATGCACTGATGAACTCCATACAGAGGAGAATCAAGGCTATGAAAGATGCGCGAGGGAGGCATAGGAGAATTTGATTTTCACTTTTTGTGGGTACAGTCATACATGAGAAGCACATTCCCGAGCTCGGAGATACCAGAGATAGACACAGATCGGGAGATTGTATTGGATAGAAAGATCTCAGAATACGTGCATTTTACAATCCTAAAGCATCAGAAGACCTAAATGTTTTTGAAATATCAGTTCAACGTGCATGTAGCCCAAACTCACAGATCCTGATAGAGAGTGATTTCAATTTGTCAGGACGGAATTGAAAAGAATTTTTTTTTTTTAAAAAAAAAAAATCTGGAACCCAGCACACGAAAAATCACTACCATCTAGCGGATATATTGGATAATAATGGACCCGCACAAATGGTGGAGATACTAACCACAATTCAAATGAGGCAATTTTGAACCTATTCGTAACAAACATTCCAAACAGGGTTCAACAGATAGAAACAATACCAGGCATATCTGATCATGACATAGTGTACATGGAAATAAAAATTTAGATATGAAAAGGAATAAACAGAAGCCTAGAACGTTACCACTCTATAAAAAGGCAAATTGGACAAGCATGGCAGAGGAAATGAAGACTCTCTATGAAAACATCAAAGGAGAGGATGAAAAAGGGGGAGATGTAGAGAAGTTATGGAAAATGTTTCGATAATGTTTAGAGATAGCAATAGATGCACATTTTCCAACTAAGTTAGCAAGACAGAAAGATAAATTGCCGTGGATAACAGGAGACTCATAAAAGAGACGTGATTGACAATCAATGTTTTACATAATATATATATATATATATATATATATATATATATATATATATATATATATATATATATATATATATAGGAAAAACCTACTGAAGAACAGCAGGGCAATTGTGACTCAGGTAAGCATTTTGGTCCATGGACCTCTTGTTTTAAATAAAATGCCTGTCTGTTTGGCAAAGATTATTTGTTAGGCTTAGATGTACAAACATTTTGTGTAAAATGAGTGGGAATGTAAGAAGAAAATCCTTCCAGAAAGAGAAATTTGTTTAAATCCCTCGTAAAAGATCAAAATTTTATTATTTATAGCCTTTGTATAGATCTACTAAGACTGAGGCTATCTGGTACCACCTGCAGGGAGGCGGACAGGAGTTACTTACCCCTACATGCAGAGTTGTGTGCCCCTGTTTGTCTTGGTCAAGACACTCACAGGCCTTCATGAACTCACCTGAGCCGAAGGCTCAAGTGAGCTTTTCTGATCAAAAGGCGTTCCGTCTGCCCTGTGTCATCTGTAAACTTTTCACATTTTTGACTTCTCAAGAATCACGGCTTATTTCAATCAAATTTGCCATAAAGCATCCTTGGGTGAAGGGAATTTTAGTTTGTTCAAATAAAGGGCCACGCTCTCTTTCAAGGGAGATAATTAAGAATTAATGAAAATTAAATGGCATCTTCTAAAAATCTTCTTAAAGATGGAAGTTAGGTGAAAGCTTCATTGTAAAGTGTAGATTCAAATTTGTTCAAATCATAGCCCTCGTTGCTAGGACGGGGCAACAATAGGTTATTGAAATATTTTACATGGAAATATTAATTTTTTTTTTAAAATCTTCTCAAGAACAGATGAGACATAATTAGTCATATTTATAATATAGTAATTAAGATTCAAGTCTGTTCAAATCATGACACCTTAACTTGGGATAGGGTGGGGCCACATTAGGCGATTAAGTTTTACATAGGAATATTTAGGAGAAAATCAGTAAAAATCTTTTAAAGCCATGATTAGTCATTTTAATACAGAAGCATCCTTACTTGTGTAGATTTGAGTTTGTTCAAATCATGCCCCCTTCCCTAAGTGATACCGGACAAAAATTATAGAGGAGAAAAATCTTGCGGTTTTTTTATTGAAAGGGGGGGGGGGGTGTCAAACTGTGGCAAAATTGTAATGCATGCGTAGCCTGAATGCATTGCATCTTGCCATACATATTTTATTCAAATCAGATCGCTGCGGGAGTAAAAAAAAACAGAAATCGTGATTAACGTCATCTGTAGAAATTATTTTCTGATGTTAACTATTGGGAAACGCATAACGAAGAAGATCCTTGAAAAAATATTTTTGTTAATTAATGTCTCACGGGCAGGTAAACAAAATATATTGAAATACATGTGCTTGTTTTTGGACAGTCAGCATCTCATCATACATGCAGTTTATACGTGTACTGGTTAAGTTTTTCGCACACAATAATTCAACGTGACTGTATCTTATTATTAGAGTCGAAACATTCGAATGAGATTTCTGAACGATTATCTTTATATGGTTTGACATGGCTGCATTTACACTAAATGGGAATTTTATTCAATCAACAAATAACAAGTCTTTATAATTGTCTCTGTGTAAAACGTAACCATGCTCTATCCTCATCCCGTCTCAGGGAATGTGATTCAGGCGCTGATCCATGATTTTTTTCCTGGGAGGGGGGTCTACCCCGTCAAAAAATATTTCCAACTAAAGATATCCATTTCCCAAATGTGAAAAATCGTATTTCGTAGTGGTGACGGTGGGGTTCCCTTTTTTTTTGGGGGGGGGGGATCCAAAGTCATATTTTATTTGCTTCAGTATATTCATTGTACTTTAACACACGTAATAACTCTGCAAATTCCAGGGGGATCCGGACCCCCTCTAGATCTGCGCTTGTGATTGGAAAATTTGATTCTCCAATGCACGACGAAGACCTTTTTACTTTTTTTGCTGAATGGTTCTGGAGCCTTAAGTCATCCCCCCCCCCCCCGACATTCCCTCCTGGCACCTGTATGAGAATGATTTTCATTTGAAAAAAAAGTCAGTGTCCTTTATCGTGGCCTAAGAAATCTTTATGGCAAACTACGGAGACAGATTTGGACCTTTGACGTTTAAGTGAGTTAGATATGGCAAACCATTCTACTATTATTCCGAAAAAAGATACGTCTTTAATTCTAATTTTGAT